ACACACACACACACACACACACACACACACACACACACACACACACAAAGTGGTCAGTGTAAAACACATTTCAATCACGGGAACTGACAGCTTAAAGTTTGTACATATGTTTCACCTGTGACTTCTGTCCTGGTTTGATGTAAATGTTTTCTGCATTGATGTCAGCATGAACGTACTCGTTTGAGTGGATATACTGCAGCACATCTAACTGCAAGCAGAAAGAAATATGAATGTTTATTAGGTGAGGGGGAAATCAAGAATATTGTCTGAAAAAACAACCCGTCAAGTTTACACTCACTATTCTGCAGGCGAGCTGGAGGACAGCTTTCTCAGACACAAGCTCTGCTTCTTCCTCCATGACAGACTGGAGAGACTGGCCCATGTTGGGGGAAATCAGAAACCTATATATGAAAAAAAAAAAAAAAAAAAAAAAAAAAGTTAAAGAACAATTCATAGCAGCAACAATGTTAACGTTAAACTCTTTCATATAATGTGCACATTTTCACACCTGTAGGACTCTGAATGAAGACCAAAGCCAACACAGGAAGGAATCCCCAGAAAATCCATCTTGTTTAGTTTGATCCACTTGTCCACTAGAGAGAGACGATGGGTTTTAATTATCATGAGTGTGGTTCATGTGTAACGTCACACTCCTGACTAATCAGGATTGCACCTAAAAGGTTAAAGATTTCATTTGTCTTCTTGGCATTGCTCCCGTTTAATAAGTTCTTGTCCACTTCTGCTTTTCTTCTGAATGGATTATGATATTTTTAATGGATGTTGTGAAACTAGATCTCGTGACAAACTGTTAGAACATTTCTCACGGTCTACTTGTTAGTAGTTCTGTTTCTGTCACCTGTCTAAATCTTTGATTATTGAGCAGCCTGTTACAGCCAATATAAACACTGAAGCACTTGACCGTGATAAATAACGCTACTGCCTTTATTTTGACAGCATATACGTCCCTTGTAGTTACCATGAGATACATTAGAGTCATGGTTTGACTGCAGCCAGATCTCCGTAGGTGACAGAAAATGATTTGGACGTACTAAACTAGAAACACACTAAATCCTCACCTGACGCAGGTTTAGCGGCTCTCTGCAGAAAGTTCTGCTCATTGAAAATTCTTCCATCTTTAGCTCCCTAAGATAAAGAAACACAAGATAAGATACACTTTATTGATCACACTCAGGAAAGTCTGTGGGAAATAGAGAACAAATAAAAACAATTTGTTGATGAATACATAAGTAGCAGAGCGATTTCTATTTAACTTATGGAACCTCTGGGATAATAATTCAAAAAACAACAAAGTGTTGAGGCAGTACTCACCAGTCTGAGGATGTCCTTTGATTCCTTGGAATGGGATCGTGAAACTGTTTGTAAAAAAGACAAAACAACATAATTTAGTTGTGAGAATACAGGCTGTTTTCTACCATTATTTGAATTTTTTTTACAAAAGTCAATCATTATATTCTGCAGCTCTGTCCTCAAAACTAGGTTAGCCATCACTTTCTATACAGCTGGTACAAAATCTGCTTTAATAAAGTGCACCGGACACATTTCGATATTTAACAGTAAATGTAATATATCATCGTTAATATACTATCTTCTTTCTTTCTTTAACTTTCCAGGTTTCACCCTGATGTCGTGTCCACTGTCTCACCTTCGTAGATGAGCTCTGTCGTGCTCTGACTGAGCAGTTTCACCAGCCTCCACTTCTTGCCCACTGTGTCCGTCACCTCTTCACCTTCCCGTAGAGGCTCCACAGCGGACACATGCTTTGCCTTCTTGGCTTTGCTTTTTCCTGTCACTGTAGATGCACAAAAGGGGAAAAAATAACGTTACACACTCGCATGAATAAATGATGCACAACTGTACAGTTTGTCTCTCTGGGCTTAAATCGCCATCCTGATGTCACAGATGTTTTTTTATTTAGAAACGTATAAATATAAAAAAAAGTGAGTGCGGAGTGACAGAAAGCCTAAGGAGAGGAAGATGACCGGGATCTAATCCGGAATGTCACAGTCTGCCCCCCACTTCACATCTCTTTACATCACATGTTTAAAATGGTGCCATGTACGTCTAGTCATCTCTTGCAATGTGTATCTACACACTGACCTGATAAGATGTAACCACGTCTCCAGCCTGATTGCAAACCAATTGATATTTTGTGAATGTAAAATGAAAGTCCACCACCTGAAAACTGAATCCCTCTGTTGTTCCCCTTTCATAAATGTGTCACTTCACAAACTGTAGCTGGATGTGGTGCTTTACGTTTTCTTTTTTTAACGTTTCTAACTTATGTCGGCCTCTAGCGGGAGCCTGAACTTCACTGGTAATAATAATATAATATAATAAATTAACCTGTTACTTGATAAATAAGCAAGTCATGTTGCGTGGTGACGGCAAACCTTTTTGCTTACCTTTTAAAGGTGACCTGGAGATTGGAGAAGAAACAGAGGAAGAGGCGGCCACAGGACAGCTGTCGACCGCTGACTCCTCTGCTTTCCTACTCGTTTTATCCATCAGCCTCTTTCCCTCTACCTGCTTAACGGGGCTGGAGAGTTTTGCCTTTCCCCTCACTGTATATGGAGCCAGCCACAATCAATATTCATCAGACAGAAGATTATGACAGAAAAGAGACTGTAATTTTCACGAGAAAAGCTCACCAGGTCGAGGGAACTTCAGGACAGGAGAAGACTCTGAAGCTGGCTCCGCCCCTGTGTCGAGCTTCAAAGGGACTGTGTGCTGCTTTGGTGGAGTTCCAACCAATCCATCACCGTTATCTGTTGATTCAAATCATAGCGTAGTTGTTCCAAAGAAAGGCATCAGCTGTCAAATGAATCTATTGACACCTGCACCATCGGTATGTGTTGCCTGAAGGAGGAAGCTTTATGTCACAATGATGGTTTATGCTACAGCAAGTTACATAAAACCTTCTAGGTCAATTCTCTTCTTCAGAACAGCAAAGTTGTAACTGCTTCCAGATAATCACCTTTGATCCTGTCCCCTCTAACAGGACTAGTGGAGGGCACCACAGGTGGAGGGGCATCTTTATTGTTGAATTTAAGTTCTTTGTCTAGACGAAGGGCGTTACGGGTCTTTCGCAGTGCAGGACGAGTTGTAACTAGAGTTGAGGCGTTACATGCACCGACTACAGAAAAAGAGAATATACATTTATGTAAATTTACAAGTAGTTTGTTCAGAACTACTATTATGAAATATTGTCAACATATTTACCTGTGCTTTCCGTGGGCTTCCAAATGGAGCTTGAAGCGAGGCTTGAATTAACTACGGCTTCATCCTTTTTGGGAGGAGAGAAACTTAAAGACTGCCTCAAGCTCACAGGTGCAGACTCATCAACAGGACAGGGAAGCTTCTCCCCACACGATGGACAGAATTTAAAACCAGGCTTCAGCTTTGTCCCACACTGGGGGCAGAAGTGGAACGGCATTCTGCAGGAGTAAATACAGTATTGCACATCTATTCTCTCTCTCTGTGTTTCTGTGGAGGTACTCCTGTGTATGCATCCTCGGGAATAAACCCACACACTTCACCAGACACACACACGAGCGCCTCCTCTTGCAAAGTGATCGATGCTTTGTTACACAGTAATCGATACAAAAACACACTTACACTCAATATGAGAATGTAATTGTCCCAAGAAGAGTATCACTTATGCACAGGCTTAGAGTACTAACTGGACTTGAATACATTAGCCAAAGTGTTAGTCTGTGCTTATTTATTCACTGCTCAGGTGAATAAAACAAACATGACCAAACAGCTTAACATTAGCCAGTCCAGCTTTAACTAATAAAGAAGCGAAACTTATGCAAAATAGAAATGTAGCAATCGTTAGCTGAATGTTGAGCTAAATCAAATGTAGCTGGAGTATCGCCTTGTTGAGTCTTGGCTTTTAGTGAAACTGGCGCCTGGGTAACGTTAAAATAAACGTAATGTGTCACAGATACCTTTCCAAACACTCCACTGGTCAGGATGTTGGTGCTTCTTCTTCTACTTCGCCGGATAAATGCTCCTGTTAGTTGGAGCAATGCAGGGGAAGTGCTGCCCCCTGCAGGTAAGATAGCTGTTTCTCATACTCAAAGAGGTATACTGCCACCTGCTGATGGGGAGTAGGCATTGCAGTGGTGGTTGTTTCCTACACCGCTGAACAAGTACCGTAAATGCTAGAAAAGCTGCGCCGGTTAAAATAGAAGCGCTCCGTCAAAATGTAATACTTCTGGGTACTACTTCCTGGGTCCACTTCCTGGCTTCACTAATACTACTTCCTGGGTCCGGATACAACGGAGTCTGGGTCCGGATCCGGACCGCGGTCCGCTAATTAGTGACCCCTGCTCTACATAATAACTTTAAAAGTGGTAACAGTATCTACTAATAGTGGATCTTGGAGTTTAAACATTGTAAGAGGCGATACATCTTATAATCTTGAGCTTGGTTGTGTTTTTTTCTACCTTGAGTAATCAGAAATAAATCAGTGAGGGAAATAACTCAAATAATGCTTTTTAAATGTAAATGTATTTTGTAAATGTTAAAATGCTGTTGTATCATTAAAAAAGGGGAAATTTGTCTCTGCATTTGACCCATCCCTGTATCAGGGAGCAGTGGGCAGCCACATGTCAGGCGCCCGGGGAGCAGCTGTGGAGGACGGTGTCTTGCTCAAGGACATCCCAGCTAAGAATCGAACCATCAACCCTGCTCAGTGAGCTAGTCCCCATAACAATTATGGAGAATGAATATATTGTATATGATACTTAGTCACTTAGTCAACATTCTCAAGATCAATTACATAAAAATAGATATGTTTCAAGTAATACATAAATAAATTGTTTATTTTTGGACATCATTTACATATATTGCATATGAAAACTGTATGGCACAATTGAAAATATTAAATATTTCAGTGTAGTCTTACTAATATAATCAAATTAAATTTTGGCAGTAGTTTTTCAAATCTGTGAAAATGAGTGGAAAAATATACGTGTCTAAACTAAAACATTGTTTCACCCTCTATTATGTTTATTTATATATATATATCACAAATTATGTGGATTTGTGAGTGAACGTATTTATAAAATATCAGTGGTATTATAAAGTGGACTAAAAGTTAACTGAAATGAAGGTCACATCTTACTGCCTTTCTTATACAACTTGGCATTAAAAACATCTGGGCATTTTTCAAAAATCAACAAATTCAACAGCCTACTTGTTAACATTGACACATGAAACAAAACACCCTCGATCCAATAATCTAGTGAAGGTTAGAGAGTTTAGCAATGGAGCTCGCAGCTCTTTCCACTGCATCTAGCACTTGAATACAGGGTTTCTATTAGAAATACTTTAGAAGTTGACGGCCTAAACGATAGCCACACTCAATAAAAACATTACATTGCCTGTGTGAAATAACACCTCTGCTCTTTTTCCCTGAAGTTGGAGGCATTTGATAAAAGTTAATTAATTTCTTATGATTTCAGCAAAGATGGTCATTGTTTCAGTTAATAACTAATATCCAAATGTTGTGGGCCCTGGGCATTAAGCATCTAGGATCTCGCCTGAGCAAAATCATGTATATTTTTAACGAAGGGTATCGTCACAGTTGCAGTATTCAGCAGGACATTCAGTAGAGCATCAGTCGCATGTAACTTAAGTTTCCTTAAAGTACATCCGTAGCAGATTTTACACCCACAATAAACTATGACTGCAGGTATCACAGTCAACATTTAACCAACTGTAAATTTCAGCATCATAAAAAAAAATATCCCATCCTCCAATATGAATTAAGTATTCAAAAGACCCATTATACAAATTTAAATGAAATGCCCACATTTAAAAGGCACTTTATCTGTACTGACAAATAATACACCTTGCCAGTGCAGTGCATTGTGGGCCAATGGACACAAATCACGTCAAGTTTCACCTAATTTATAATAAAACTATACTGTTTATTCTCCCACTGTTTAACCTGGATGTCTTCCCATTTTCTTCTCCAGTATTATGGCCACAGATATGTACTGTGACCACTGTTCATTCTAACATGCACATTTGCTCCTATCAGAGCCCTCTGAGAGGTCTGCGTTGGTGGGTCCATTAACTCGGACGGTCCCATCAGGGATCCAAGACTTGTCAACACATCGTTCCATCCTCTTCATGATGAGATCCAGCAGGACGTCCACAGCCTGGTTCACGTTCTGCCCGTTTGCAGCACTCGTCTCAAAGTATGGGATTCTGCATTGGAGAAAACAATGTGGGGACTTCATCATACAGGCTGAACAGTTCAAGACAATCAAAGGAGAACACTAACTAAAGCACAGTCAGCCCGGAGTGACATGTATTTAATACCGTGACTTATTCTCTCTTGAAGGCATTTAAAATGTTTCCTACAGCACATTTCCACTACAAGACATGTGTTTTTATTAAAGGTGTGTCTACTAGGGTCAGAGCAGGATATTTTATACATGTGAACAAATATTTGCCATTTAACAGTGACATTGTCCTGCACAGACTTTGGCAAACAATGCAGCCACTGCCCTCTTGACAAACACCTGAGGGAGAGGTTCATGTACAGATGGATCAAAACTGAGACATACCCGTATTTCTCTGCCAGCTCACGGACCTCGTCTTCACGGACTGCTCTCTGATCCGACAGGTCACATTTGTTGCCACATAAAACGACGTCTGGACTTTCGCAGTATGCGTGAATCTGTAACTGACCTGAAAAACACAATCAGCAAGTTGTTATGTATTTTATCCTATTTTAATGTGTTATATGTTTGCATTTGAGAAAGAAATCAAGCGATTATTAATGCATTATATTCACATAAAACACAAAAAAGTTGAGCACAGTAGCAGCCGTAGTATAACATTTGCTCATATAACACAGCCCAGTGTCAATTCTCTATGAACAAAAAGAGTTTTGTTAGCATTCACTCAAAGTATTATGGTCAACAAGGAATTTAATATTGTCAAATGTCCTGTGCACTAAATTTCTCTTACTTAAAATAAGTAAAACTAAATTATAGGAACATGAGTTTAATGACTAAAAGTTCACATTTAGAGTGATATATCAGAGGACATACTCATCCAGTTTCTGACGTTGAGGAAGCTTTGTTCATTTGTGAGGTCAAACAGAAGGAGGAAGCCCATTGCATCTCTAAAGAACGCGGTCGTCAAACTCCGAAACCTGACACCATTCAGACAAAAAAAAAAAAAAACACTTCATGAGAAACATAATAATTGGTGAAACAGACACGTTTGAAAACAGAAAACACAGGATTTGAGGAAGGTGAGAAAGCGCGAGTACTTCACGTACCTCTCCTGTCCTGCAGTGTCCCACAGCTGCATGTGGATCTTCTGTCCTCTACCTGAAGATCCATCTGGATTTGTTGACTTGTATACCTGAGTGAAAGACAGGTGAGGTCAAACTAACTAGTGTTCTCTGCACCAACTTTAACACAATTAAAATGTGATAGAAATGCTACAAAACAAAGCCTACAACATTTAATCTCGATCCGTATCAGTCGTGTTGTGGGAACATGGCTTGTTGCAGAGTGTAGTTGCACAGTTGCCTCCATTAGATAAAATAAAACGGGAATGACTCGGCATACTTGGCAACATTCAGTCTTGTTTATTAATCCAAAAAATGATCTAAATACAGTTACTTAGCTAGTGCCGATGGTGACTGTGTTCAGCTCACCGCAAGAAACGGTACTCACAAAATAACTAAATAAAAATGAGTTTAAGGCAAATTTGACTTGAGTAAACAGAAGTTAACTTTAATTGTTCAGCCAATGTAAATGTGTTTTATACATCCGAGTGCTGTGATCACATGCAGTAATAGTCTTTTCCACGGTGTACTGTCTATTTGTATGCCAATAACTGTATTAACATTGTATTCTGCATTATATCTCTTTTACTTAATCTTGCATCTCAGTGGTTTCAAAGATTGTTTTACACTGAGCTCTCCTTTCTGATAAACAATTCAGCCTCCACCAACTTGAGTTGATAATAAAAGATTAGCAGTATTAATCTGGTGTTTCATGGTAAACTGGATGCAGATAGAGACTAAATGTTATCCACAGCTTTTCTTTGATCTTTCCAACAATGCATCACTTCTGTCAGTTGCAGTAAACACTTCGGCAGCACAGGAAGCTACTGGAACCTATTTGAGATTAAAAGCGATGTTGAGCCGCGTAGCATTCGGTCTAGGAGCGTGCTGTTGCTTTCAGCTGTATGACTGTGACCACTGGACAGCCAGCTACAGTACTACTGGAGTATGAATCCCATATACATACATACATACATACATACATACATACAACGGTCATTTCATGGACCAGGAAAACCAAGACTGATTCATTTTTACACACAATCAACGGCAGGAAGCACAGATCTGAGTTGTTTGAGGACACACTACAATTGCGCATTGTGCTTAAACCATGACGACGAGTTATATTTTTAAAAGCTATTCTGGAAGTGCAACTTTTCAAATCACAGCTCATAGTATTCACTTGCTGTATCTTTATCCTTTTTATCAGAAGTGATGGAACTACTTCTAATAAAAAGATGGTCAATGATGTCACTTAACATACATTGTCCAGGATTGACTGAACCTCCAGGATAGCTGATGAAACTGTGAACAGGCTATATTCTTGGAGCTTGAGGTCAGAAGCATTAAAGACAAAACACTGTGTAAACATGAGCACTGCTCTGCTGTTTGCCAATGGTATGAAGTGTTTATTCTTAAGGAGGGTGCTGCCTGCTGTTCACCAACATTAGTCATTACTCTTGCGACATTCATCAGTAGTCTTTTGTTACAAGAGAGTTGCTTAATAGTGTGGGAATGCATTTAAGCCCCTAATTAGGAAGCCATTAATGCTTATAGCACACATGGACACAAGGAAATGTTATGTCAGTAGTACAGAGCGTAAACTCCAAATGTGCTTTTACTGAAGTATTGAGTAAAATGAAAATGCTGGCTTTTATTCAAACTTGACTGAACTTACCACTCTTTTTTCTCGGAAGTCTATTCCAACTGTAGTGATGAACTTGGAGTTAAACTTGGTGTCTGTGTATTGGTAGAGGAAGCTTGTCTTTCCCACGCCAGAGTCACCGAGGGCTAGGAATTTGATGAGGTAATCATAGTCCCCATCAGACATAGTGAGCGCTTATTTCTGAGACACAAAAAGAAAAAAAATCCAGTCAACGAACAATCTGGAAAAGTAGTAAATCTCAAATTGAAATAGTATTCGTTTTTTTATCCCCAGTGTAGGAAATGAAATTGTGAAGCAATGACGGAGGATCATGTCCATGGTGACACAAATCCACACACAGAAAGCAGTCTACATTTCATCCAACCATTTAAACATCAAGGAACCCTTAAAATGCACGAATCCCTCTATTCTCCAGTTAAAACGGTAAGCGTGACATTATATGTTTTTGTTCTATAGCTAGCAAATCCCAATGAAAACAAAAACTACAATAACCGCCTTGTTTTGGTACCAGGAAATATGTTGAGTTAAAACCCAATCAGCTGGTCACATCCTTGCTCCAACTGGGGTCAGCGAGGTGGAAGTTGCTCTCCTCAGAGTTGAGGCCAACTACCTGCAGCAACCTGGCTGTGTTGCCAGGAATGTGGTGCTGAGTTCAGGTGAACGCCCGTACTTTCCTGGAGCACTCAGCTGGGGCTCCAATGCCCTTACCCTGATGACCCTGGGCTTCTGAAGCCTCGTTAGGTTGCTTCCTGCGCCCCAATGCTTTTCCCGCCTGTGCAAGCCACACTTATAGCTGTGTCACGACGAGGGTGGACATCAACTGATCAAGCTCTCTGGTCATCAAACCGAAGGCATTAAGTGCAGCATTGTTGTGGCTAAATGCCCCACCGCAGACATGCCTTTGCTGACATGACATCCTCACCGGGATCCCGGGCAGCTACTGGAGGGGTGGGTGGGGGAGGTGGAGCCCACATCAGTGCTTTAAGATGCTTTGTGTAATTTAAAAGCCATTTCATCTTGCTGACACAACGACAGAAAGCATTTTAAATTCCTCTGTTTCTCTCCAGCCACAGACAACACGTTTTGGAGTAACATTTTAATTGATTTAAATTCAGGACTTAAGTGAAGAGGCACATATTTTCTTCCAGAATGAGATCCACACTATGATATTTACTGGATGAAACATTTGACATGGTCGACCAACTCCGGTCAAAACATCCAAAAGAAAGGGCAGATGTATCATATGACCAGTGCGTAGAAAAGACTTCAGACAAGTCTTGCATTCTTTCAGTGTAACCCACACTAAACTTTTCATCTGGAGACATAAGCAGCTTAAGGTCTCGTGCAAAATCAAGACCCATGATAAATTGACTGTGATGGAAGAAGAAAAAACTCAAAAAGCACTGATGTAGCCGTGAGCAAAGACCACCGAGCCCCAGAACTGTGATTTGACTCAAGTAGTTTAAAAAGGTATAAAGTTTTACTTGCGTCAAATATGTTTTACAAATCAATTTCTGTTATTGCAAGGCCACCATCAAACCCACACAGCTAACATTATTATCCCACTCTCTTAAGTTATTAGAAAAATAAACAAGATGTGACCATTAGTGAGCAACATGTTGACTGTAAATACTTGTGCTGAAACCTACTGAGAGGCTGTAAACAGTGTAAAATCTTGTGTTTTTTACTTATGAGCAAGATGACTAATTAACTTAAAACTCACATCTTCCTGCCACATTTCATCTTTCATAACACCACTTTCCTCTTATCTTCCACTCAAAAAGCCCACTGACACACATTTACTAGGTTTACTAGTTTATGGTGCTGCTGAATTGTATTGCGCTCTATTGAGGCGTGTTTCTTTCAAATTTTGTCCACCTCTGAAATTACTACAAACATGAATCAACACCTCAGGTTATGTAGATTGCATTAGTTTTAGCTAGGTGTACCTAAAAAACTGTCAAGAGGCATGTTCCTACTAGACCCTTTTTGACAGCAGACATTTTGAATTGTCATAGCAGGACAAGCACAGGTGTGCAACTGGGACAATTAATGGAGACACAATTAACATTATTAGTAACAGGTGTACTTTTACTTCTATAACAAGTCAAAAGCATCTGCTGTGATGTCATTCTGACTACTTATAATATATATTTCTATCCTAATTATTGCTGACATTACTATTGAAATCCCCGGCATAAAAACTTGAGTCAGTATATGAATTCTGTTTCGGTGAAAACAGGTCACATAAGTGACACAATCCAGCAAAACCACACTGCCGTCTATACAGATTGTATCAGCACATTTCTGCAGATGTATCAGGCTAACCAGAAGTCTTCTTATTGAGCACCAGTTGCAAACAAGAATTAGTTTAAACTCATGTTAACAAGTGAATGTTATACCGAGGAGAAAGCAAATGTTCACGCGTAATGTGTGTAGTACACAAAGCTGTGCTAAAAACTTCACTGTCAAGGCCCTTTCCAAGTCCCAGAACTGGTCCCAGTCCTGTCACAGCTGTGAAAAGGAAGCGAGCTCTGATGGCAGAGTGTGATCTTCCATCGTGTTCGGCAAGAAAACACTGAGTGCAGTGAGAGCACAAGAAATCTAATCCAAACTACTGCCCAACATAAACAATACACTTCTCTGAAACAACGATGCTCCAATCTCTGGCAGGATGGTGTGAAGGTTTGTTTATTATTCTTAATTGATAGGAGACGCGCCAATATATTGGCATGTTAAAAGTATCAGTCAATATCAGCTTTAATAATTGCAATTGGTTGAACTAATTAGAACCAAAGGTATGCAATTTTTTCTCTGACCCATTCTAATATCTAAACACAATCTATTAGCTGATACAGAAGAATATCTAGCTCCATCTTAAGCCAGTAGTGGATTTTTATATCTATACCAATATATTTAGCAGCTCGCAGTGAATTAATTACTGCAATTGATGGAAGACAGTGATTTTTCGATGTTATTGAAAGAGAAACTGTAATTAACGGATCGATCACATTTGACCGAAACCAGATCCACTTATTAAAAAGGCAGGGCTGCTAATCTTCTTCAAAAACGTTTTTATATATTTGTGTAGAAATCCTCCTGACAGCAATCAAGGAAGAATCAAATGCTCTGACAAAAAAAAAAAAAAGGTTATCTGTGGCTGTCGCAGGACTGCAATGAGCCTAATGACTTCATTATTTCTAACTTTCGGAGCTAGTGCTGCTAGCTACTTTCTTTGGGCGGGGTTTTTCAGTTGAATGATTTTTAAAACGTTGCTAGTTTTTCATGACTACTGCCTTTAAGGTCAGCATCAGTTCCAATGACCAATCTGTTACCAACCAGTTAAAGCGGTTAACTGCAATGAGCTAAACGTTCACAATCACCAATTAGCAATTAGTTTCCTGTAATGTAATTTATGGCTACTGTATGCTCCACTAGAATATAATAAACGGCAACGATAGGGGCCTCAAACAGCTGCAGTGTTATCCAATGTTGTGACCCCACTTTTTAGAGGGCCCTGATGTTAAAATCCAGTTTTAAGGCCTTTACTATTTCAGTATAGTTAACCATACTAACCAGTGTGGGAAGATGGTGCATATCACTATAAAAACGTGTGCTTAATTAATTACCTCTTTATTTATTTATCTGACATAAATACAATGTACAGAAAGCAGAAGATATGGGGGTGCATCCCTATTAGATACTGATTAAAGCGATTATAAACTTCTTTTAAAAAAAAATTCTAAATGAGCTTAGCACAAAAATGTGTGAAAACAATTAAACCGTGTTGCACCTACTGTCACACTGTGACTTCATAAATAAAATCCATATCTGCGAGTGTGAGAAATACTGGATGATGATTTCAAAACAAACAACAAAAAGACACATTTGAACCCTCGTTGACGCTGGTGAGATTTTTAATCTCAGTGAGATCAAGTTTAAATAAACGTTCGTCTACCTTAACATCTGTCAGCATTTCCTCCTGCACTGCTACCCTCGTAGCTGTGTTCCCGGGACCAAGTACCACCACCACCACCACCACCACCACCACCACCCATGCAGACCAGCAAACAAGAAGCAGCTTTAATCATTTGTCAGGATAAGTGGCTGCTGTCCAACACAGCCCTGGCAGCTCCTTGGGAAAATCCGGATATGCACATACCATAAACTTGAAAGGGTGTAGCACCACACAATGGACAACAATACAATCAAATGATTAGAGACAGGCACCACCTCTCTTCTACTTCTGGCTGCCAAAGCTGGTCACTAGCTGTGTAATTAAACCACCTTGTGAGGAGTTATCTGCAGCAGCACCAGACAGTGTGAGGCTCATTCAACTCGATCTCTAACAAACATTTAAATCGATTAACCGAAATAAAACCGAAAGACCTTTAGATGGTCCTCGTGTGTGTGTCAGGAGGCCCGTTAGGTAAAAAATAATCCCTTTTATTTTTTACTTGGTATGGATTCTGCCAAAAAGACTAAATAAGATGCCACCTCCCAGCTTCCTCATTCAGACACGTTGCAGCCAACATATGGATCCAAACAACCACAACGACGTGCCGTCCTGCTTGTGGCGTTGGTCTTTAACAGTTATTGAGCAAGTGTGGAATAAACCAGCAGCTATGAAAGAGGATGATGCAGGTGTACACATGTTTCACAACTAACGGTCTCTTGTGAATGGAACAAGTTGGAAGGCAGCCAGTCCGCTTCTAATGCAGATGCTCGCGTGAAGTGAAGTTAAAAGAAAACTCTTTAAACTCTTAACGTTAGTGAACTCCTGAGAAAAGCAACAGACGGGTTATTTCGACTGACATTTCCTGAAAACAACGTGTCGCAACTCACCAGCGGGGCGTTGCTGCTGCGCACTGTGTCCTGCTGGCAAAAAAAAGTGGTTTTAAAAAGTGATGAAGACTTTACCGAGAGGTGAATAACGGATGGCTTTACTTTGTCCTTCGCGTCTCGACTCTCGGTTGACATGAGACCAGCTTCTTTAACACCGAGCAGCTCCTTTACTCCCCGTGGTCGTTGGGAAACAGCTCCTCCTCCCGTTAGACGGCTCACCGGAGGCTACGACACCGCAGAGGCGTGTACTTCTTCAGAGTACATTTAGGAGTATCACTATCTCATGCTACTACTTATACTTCCATACACCTCCACTTCAAAATATATTTAAAGGACTCAGAATGACCCATTTGAGTTATAATTATTGATGCATTTGTGTGTTTAGCACTTTAATGTTGCAGCTGGTAAATGTGGGAACTAAATAATAATAGATAATTTATTAGTTGATTTATATTTTGTAATAATAATCTAAATCTGCAAGAATAAAAAGTGAAGATTTCAAATAAATGTAGTGGAGTGGAAGTAGCCTAGCACGTATTGAAATGCTCCAGTATTAAGTACAAGTGCCTGAAACATGTACTTGGTTACATAGTACCTAAGTAGGCTACATTTGCTCAAGTACTGCATTGTTGCAATGATACTTTGACTAAAGTAAAGTATGTGAATACATACCTCCGCCAGATGAAAAAGAGTCTTACTGTATAAAAAAAACTGTACAGCATCACATTTCACAGAAATTAATGTATTTCATGCTGTAGAATAAAATGTGAACTATTTTCGGGCGTATGTGGACCACAGACCTCCTTTTATCTAAAATGCATTGTGAATCTGGAAAAGGAGCTCATGGCTGAAATACTTCTAGGTTTTGGCACTTGTACAAAGTCAGTAGTTTAAAATGAAAATCAGACTCTAGGGGCCACTTCACTGTACATTTAGTCATGTTTGATGACCTACTTAGACTTGGTGCTATCTGAATTATCTTTGTTTTGGTTTGCAAAGACAATACACAACATTTATCTATTTATTCAATAAATTACATTTTGGATACAGCATTAAAGTAGGCAAAAATCCTTGTGAAATGTGTTTAAATCTACTATACTTTGTAAGCTTTGGAAATGAAAACAGATGTATAATGAAACTTTGACACACGTCCTTTTGAAACAGATGATTCACGATGTCAAATTATCAAATACTTTATTTTGTACATTAACAATCATACAAAGAACCCCAAACAAGCATGAATGTATCCATGCTGGTCTTTCCTTTGGTTCGGCCTTCAGTTGTGATATTCCAGCAGCCTCTGATGGATTCTTCTGGCTTCTGTACGGGAAGTATTTCCTGGGAGTGATTCATGAGTTCAGTCTGTTTTATTTTGTTTCTTTGGGACATCCTGGTTTTGTTGACCAGAGGTCTTCAGCACCGGCTCAAAATAAGGTCTGTAAATATAAACCCCACTAGCGACTCCGAGCAGTGTGGCTAAGGCGAGCTGTGTGAAGGGCACTCTCCTCCGTAACATGGCTTCTTTTATTGTGAAATCCTACTGGTGAGACACAAGATGATCCTGAAAGAAGAGTAAAGTGGTGTTATCCAAGACACTTTATCTACGCACTAGGAATTATCTTTTTTTTTTTAATCCTTAATTTTGTAACTCCTTTCCTCTGTTTGAAATTACATGTTCTTACAAAATTGTCAGCATAACTTTCAGCATGGATGTACTCTACATACAGGTAACTGCTATAATAGCACATTCAGAGCCACCACATAGTATGTCTACGTAAATTGTGTGTACAGTAGATTTCCACATACAATCATCATGAGAGACACTAAATCACTAAAATCCAAGCAGGGCTGAAGCTGAAAAGTGAACAGTGGCCCTTCATCTGCATTATTAGGAATCTACACCAGTGTATATCCTACACAAGCTGAATGAGGATCTGTAGTTATCTGATGGATTTGGAACAGGGCAAATAGATATATATAATATAATAATTTAGCCTGAATGCACACTATGCTTGATGGCAGTATAATCTCAAAAAACTATCCTAATGTTGACAGGTGTAATGATTAAGTAATGCGCTTTAATCAAACAAGTTAACTCAATAGAATTATTAGACTGCCAAAACGTTGTGTTCACATGGTCATATAAACCATTCAGCTAAACAAAAGTGATCTTTTCCTTAACTATTTCCAGAGAATTAAAGATGTTTTAACATCTTATTTTGAAAAACCCACACCGGATCTGTTGACACTGGGTCTGCTAGCTTGACAACTTCCTATCCATTTATCGTGAGCTGAAATCAACTCAAACAATACAACGTAGCTGCTGTACAAGCCATTAATAAACAGTCATAACTCACCGCGGAAGCGGTTTACTCTCCGTGTCTGTAATCCCCAAACACAGACGGACACAGAGGTCAACACACGAGACACGACAACATGCAGACCAAGGAGGCTGATGTTTAGTAACAGGCAAGCATTCTTCTTCTACTTTCAATTATGGCAGAAGAAAACAGCTGCAGTCCGCCACCTGGTGGAGTAATCAGTAACAGTTTGTTTTAGAGGCAATATTCACCTGAGCATCAGAAAGACCTGAGTTTAAATCATTTAATGTATCCAGGGAACAAAGGATGGAAGGTAATGAACAAATATTTCTGAGGCTCATCATACATCGAGCGTTAGTAGCGTTGACCTTTTACTTTGAAGTCAAGAAACAACGTTCTGCCGGAAGTAAGTGCGAGTGCGGAAGCGCAGACAACCCTTGAGCACAGCTGACTTTGTGCTAAGTGAAGTCCAGGTTTATATATATATATATATTAACTGTCGTTTAGTTGAAGATGTGACAGTTGAATACTGTTGGTTAAATAAACTGAAATATTGTGAAGGAAAATGTCCTGATGGAGAACATCCGAACACGTCTTAAGTTTGGAAATAAAGTCGAAGATGTGAAACTGAGGAAAAGAAAATCCCAACTGTACTCAAAGGAAGATGAGAGTCCTCTTAATTACGGTGGGTTCCCTATATGTGATCTTTAGAATAGTACCAAACAACTGCATGCAGTGATGAAAATAGATCAGTAATAGCACTAATATGAGGTGATTTATCCTGAACTCCACAGGTGAGCTGAGAACCAGAGTGGTCGTGTTTTCTGTGGCATTCAGACTCATCAACTGCTTCCTGGTTCAGACCAGCTTCGTCCCCGATGAGTACTGGCAGTCTCTGGAGGTTTCCCATCGTATGGTCTTCAAATATCCTTTCACATTGTCATCTGCACCTATGTGACTGGACTGTTGTGGATTATAATTATTGTTATATTATATATTCTTGTATTTCCTTCTCTAATTCTGACCTTAACAGTGTGACTTATGGGTATGTGACCTGGGAATGGAAGGAAGGAATAAGAGGATTCACCTATCCACTCTTCTTTGCATTCATATACAAGATATTATACTTCATAAACTACGACTCAGTCTATCTCCTGGCAAGTTCACACACATTTTCTATCCAGACAACCTTAACATTGGCGTGTCTGTGACCAGATATATTTCCTCTAGTCACTTTGTTTCACTAATCCTGGTCTGGTTTGTTTTGCAGATATGGCTTCCACGAATAAGTCAAGCACTATTCGCTGCGTTTGCAGATGTAAAATTCTTCTTCCTCATCCGAACTTTGGAAAGTTGTGACGTAGCAAAATGGACGGTGAGGAGTCGACCTGTAATACTGCAGTTCATTCTTCAAACAGAGCTCCATGTCTGCTCAGATCTCCCCGAGGTTTCCTTCTGTCTCAGTTCTCTCGTCGCCTAAAATACACAACGTGTCCTACAGCCTCTTCTTGTTCTGGTCCCCAGTTCTTTTGCCATATGTGCTCGTGGTTCTCGTGGTACTGCTGCACCAGGACTCTGACCAACAGCATGGAGACCACCATCACCTGTCTCGCTCTTTCTTACTTTCCACTGCCGGGATCCAAAACACACAGCAGGTCTCGGCTTGTTACGTCTTTCTCATATTTAATTAATATCTTCCCTAAAATATGTTATTTAAAGACACATTGTTGATGTTTTTCCAGCAAAATATATTTGACCCTGGTCGCCTTGGCAGTCATCGTTCGACCAACGGCCCTGATTGTGTGGTTTCCTCTGGTGATGTACCATTTCTGGCTGGAAGACAACAAACTGAGGCTCATCACTCATAACTTAATTCCTATCGGGTTTGTACTTTAAATCTCCTGTCAACTGAATCCGTTTCATCCTCACGTCTTTATTGCATAATCTTCTTTTTCCCCTCATTTCCAGAGCTTTGGCTGTTGTGATTTCAACAGTAATCGACTGTATATTTTATGAAAAGGTAAAACCTAAAATCCATCATGTGATTTTTTTTTTGATTCCAGTAACATCTGCTTATTCAAGCCCTTTACGAATGTACCAGGTGCTCTCTCTGTTTCTCAGTGGACCATGGTGCAGTTCAGCTTCCTGAAGTTTAACGTCTTACATAGTGTAGCAGATTTCTACGGCTCTCATCCCTGGCACTGGTACTTCACTCAGGGGTTTGGAGTCGTGATTGGCCCTCATCTTCCGCTCTTCCTTCACGGCTGCAGCATCGCCTTCAAAAAATACAAAGTTCTGTTGGCAGCGGTCGTCTGGACAGTCGTGGTTTACAGGTAAAATGTCTGTGTTCACATTCGTGGGCCCGTATTTATCAAAAGAATTACACTTAAGAACAAGACGCCATCTTTCATTCTTTCAAATGTAATTCTCATTTTCTCAGTGGGATGATATTCTGCAGAAGCAAAAAAGTTAAAAAAATATCTCCAGTGGCAATAAATGTGTGAAATATACAACGTCTAAGTATAAGATAATAGGTGTTAAGTGGTAAAACATCCTATCAAATGTGTCTGCACATGACGCCTGACAACAAAGCAAATAGTATTCTGAGTTACACGTGTTGCTTCAGATAAAACAAATAATTTATTTTGATGTACGTATCACAATCATTCAAAAACATTTTCAGAAGGTGCTCACTTCTGTGATTTAGTCAAAAGAAATTTAATAAATAGCTTTTATTCTTAAATTTGTAAAATTGAGTAATCGTGAAGGATACGTACTTTAATCTTGTACTTAAAGGTGCCCTGTGGAGTTGTATTGTAAACAAACATGCTGTTTAAACATTTGGAAACATGATTTTTGTTTTTGATCATTTTGAAACCTGCATTGTTTTCATCTAATTTACTTGCTTGCAATGATTTTAACTGCTTTTACCTGCACATTGTTGTGGTTGTTGCCACCCGCCATCAGTGACCCACTTGTAAAAATATTGTCAGCGTTACTAGTCGTAACAAACCTCACAGGGCGCATTTACAACCAAAACTCTGCCACTTGCTGACATGTTCGAATCCTTTCCTTCAGTTTGCTTCCTCACAAAGAGTTCAGATTCATCTATCCGGTGCTGCCTTTCTGTATGATCTTCTGTGGTAGGTTTTTATATTTCACATGTAAAATATCTTTGTGATAATGAACAGCCAGATGTGTCTTTTAATACTTCTTCTACTACAGGGATATCTTTGGCTAATTTGAAAGCGTGGCGACGATCTGCTGCATCCATCCTGTTAGTGAGCAACCTGGCTGCAGCTCTGTACACCGGCCTGATCCACCAGAGAGGCACTCTGGACGTCATGAGCCACCTCCAGACCCTGTGTGACGTCAGCAGCACCTCCGCCCCTCCGCAGACAGACGTCCTCTTCCTCATGCCGTGTCACTCAACTCCTTATTATAGGTGAGGACTGGAGCGCTGCACACAACAACGCAATCTTTTCTTAAATTCTTAAGATGTTCTGGATGTTCTAAATAAAGCTTTCGAGAGGTGACGACAGCTTCAAGATAATGGACATTGTCCAGAGCTTACAATTGACTTTCGACCACATTTGTTCCATTGCAAGAGTGCAAACTGAATCTGCCGATGAAGACTGTGTGATACAGTTTAAAGCTCCATAACAGCAATTAAAAGGGACCTTAAGGTGATTTTTATTTTCAACTGTACACTAATGTACAGTACATTACTAGCTCTTAGGGCTGGGTATAGTTTAAAATATTTAATAACCCATGGTTTCACCTTTCTGTGAGGAATAGAAACATCTTAACCCTTTTTAAATTCAGCTAAAGTATGCTAAATGTAGTAATGCAGCAGTGATTGTTTGAATAAAAGCAGCTTTACAAGAATGTTGCCTACATACAAAATAAAATTAAGAATAGTGATTGATTCCAGAAAACATATGACCAAAGATTAAGTAAATAAGGCTACGGTCCATTTCTGAATATAGGTCTGTGTACCTGACTGTACTCTCTCTCTGTAGCCACATCCACTGCCCGATGAAGATGAGGTTTCTCGAGTGTCCTCCAGATCTCGGAGACGAGGGTTACGTCGATGAAGCCGACGGGTTCTACGACGATCCTCTTCACTGGCTCAGAACTTCATTCCCGTACAAATCTTCTCTACCGACCCATCTGGTTTTGTTTGACGTTTTGGAGAAGGTAAGATATATTCACAAATTATATTTCTTCATGTATTTGTCAAAATGTACGTGTGACATGTACATATGTGTTTTTTTTGTTGTTGTAGGAAATCTCTGTGTTTTTGGAAGGGAACAGGTTTGTGAGGACAGCAGAGATATTTCATACTCACTTTCCAGAGGGACGAGTTGGAGGAAGCATCTTTATTTATGAAAGGCACTGACAAACACGGGAACAATGTCACATGATATGGATTTACTACTGAAATAAACTAGTTATTTTGAAATACCAATTGTCAGATGTGTCAAATGTTTCACATCAACTGTATTTATTTTCAGAACTACATTTGGTGACATTGTTTCTTCCAGTCATTTTTTTGCCAACACGTGTAAATAAAACAAATAAAACTGCCAGGTCCAGTAAAACAAGCAAGAGGTGGAATGTTAGAAAACTGCATCTTAACTCAGAGAGCAAATTACAACCACTTCACACACAGTCTTTAAAACGACTACATACATATACACTAAAACATCAAAGAATGTTGCATTTACATATTTTCCATTTTTGTAAAAAAAAAAAAAAAATCCCAATTAACATTTCTCTGCTCAATAATTTCACGTGTATTTTTTTACGTAGGTGCACTGGTTGAAGATAGGTTTCGATGGTGTTTTAGAAATAAATCATCAGGTCCATAATAAAGTGTTTTATCTTCACACTTGTAAACTTGTGGATCAGATATGCCGAATCTTTCTCTCAAAAATAACGATTACTCCACTTAAAACAAACGTTCAGTAGCATTACAAAGATAACATTGTGCAAACTTACAATAAAAAAACATGAGACTTTACATCTCAACACAACCCAAAATAGAATTTGCATCTATAATATTAAACCAGTTGAGATATTTTCAGTATTTGGGATCAAACGGCATCGGACCCAGTTCTATTTTGACGTCAGCCATGTGTCCGTCTGCGTTTCTTCCTGATCGGCTCCATTTGCGCTCTCTGTGTGGTCGAGATCTGGCTCTCTGCTGCTTTCGCTGTTGATGCTTCACCCTCGAATCCTTAGAGTCCGTGTCTGGTCTTTGAAATGGCCCGCTGTGTGGTCGAACACAAAACATACACGGCATTAAGATTAGAATGTTAGACTCATTCATGTACAACCTGCAGCGTGATAATCAAAGACAACGGGTGTAGGAGTTCTCTGTAATGTTTTAATTTATGGGACAGTAAAGGAAAACTCCAAAGCTGGGAACTTTCAGCATAATTTAGATAGATTCCTACTTATAAAAAGGTACAATACTTTTTAACTTACCTCGGGCCATAGTTCTTTTTGTAACCCTCTCCGAAGAAGTGCCGGTAGACGAAGTCATCAAGGTCTCTGAATACGTCGCCATTAAGGCCATGATACTCGGACTCGTGAATGTTAGTCAGATAGTTTTCCACGACGCTGACAAAGTCTGTGAACAGCATCTGTTCGTGGACGAACACGCCGTTGTGGAAGAAGTTGTTGATGAACACCTCCAGCTCTTTCCAGTGGTGGAAGTGGTCGACTTCTTGGTGCACGTAGCTTTCTACCAGCTGGTAAAACTCGTCTGCTCCGATTGGCTCCATGGCTTTGTCGAAGCGGCTCATGGACTCCTGATAGGCGCTGTCGAGAATGCCGGAGCATCCTTTAGACTTGGTCTTGTGGGCGTCTTGACCTTCGTGAACTTTCTCCCCTGATTTTCGAGTGTTGTGGTCGCTCTGGAAGGAATCCTCAGATTTGCGTTGGTGCTTCTGTTGAGGCTTGTGGAATCCGTGCTTCCACGACTCTTTTGTGTTCTTACCGCGTCTTTTCTCATAAAACCCGCTGGCTTTGTTGATGAAGGTCGAAGCTGAATCCTTGAAGTGTCGGAAAGTTGATTTGACGGAATCTGAAAACTTCCTCAGGTTCTCCTTCACAGCTTCCTTCGCCTTCTTTATCTGCTCTTTGTGGTGATGGACAAACTCCTTAGTGGAGTTCTTCACAGCATCAAATGTCTGTTTCACTTTCCCTGCCATGCCCTCTTTTGAACTTTTCACTTTGGACTCTGTGTCTCCTTTCGCTTGGTCTTCCTTGGTTTCCACATACAGCCTCTCCCACAGGTCCGAGCGCTGCTGCTCGAAGCTCAGTCTCTTCTCCAGCTCCATCAGGCGGGATTGGAGCTCTTCTGACTCTAAACCAGCTTCTTTTGCAGCTCTGGGGATGTCATTTCTCAGCACATTTAACTCTCTCCTCAGCTCATCTGTAACCGTTCTCTCTTTGTCAAGCTTCTTCCTCAGTGTCTGTGCTTCAGCCACCATGTCTTCCCTCTGGCTGTGGAAGCTTTCGATCAGCCGTTTCTGCTCCTCCAGCTGGTCTTTCAGCCTCTGGATTTCTGACCGCAGCGAGTCGGTACCGGCTCCCATCGCCTCCAGTTCTCTAATATTAGAGAGCAGGATTCTCAGCTCCTGCTGGAGGGCGGAGAGGGAATCTTTTTCACGTTCTAGGGAGGTTTTCAGCAGCTGGTTCTCAGCTGTCAACTTCTGCTGCTGAGACACAATGTCCGTCCTCTCTTCAGTCTTCTGTTTCAGCAGCATTTCCGGGTCATCTCTCTGGGCCTTAATGGAAAAACAAGGGAAACGAAAAGAGAGACATTTTTGGCTTTTAAAGTGGTGTTGATATGAGATGTGATCATTTATTGAATGACTTATCATTCAGCATTTGAGCAGTAAAACTAAATGCAAGAGGACACATGAAACTAGTTTTTACTTCAGTTGTGATTTGTAACTCATAACATTTATTTATTATTATGTTACCAAGAAGTACACAAGTTACCTGAATATGCTCCTGCTGGATGTTGAGCTCCTGGTTCTCTTTCTCTATCTTCTCAATCATTTCTGGGAGCAGTTCTTCCTCTTCCAGGTCATCCATACCAAACTCACCTGAGTGGACCTGAGTGGTAAAAGGACGACACAAGTCATGCTTTTTTCATTAAGGTTGTCATTATATGGGTCATGATTGTTGAAGGTGATCAGAACGCTCTCTCAATATATGTCTTTTGTAGCTATGACTTTTAATACAGCATTGTTTAAAATCTGTTCAAATCCCCGACACTAACGCCTACTTGACTGTGAGCTCCTGGTAATATTTTGGTCTGGTGAAATGCAATGAAATAAAATACTACCGTACTTTATTCTTTACGTGTTAACTCAAGTCAATGATAGATATGATGTCTCTGTGGGTGGATTTGACTGCAATACGTTTAAAGTTGTTTCCAAGTACTGTTATGTGCACTTTGTTTACATAGATAGCAAGCGAGATATAATTACCTTACAAAAAAAACCTGGCTCCTGTCTTTCTTTAATCTGGACTGTATCTGCAACACAAAGATTATTCACATGTTACATAATGTTTTAACAAAGGGAAGCATGTCTACATCACAGTTTGCAGTGGTCTATAAAACTCAAAGACAGTTGTTATGAGGAACCAAAGAGGACAAACTGTTTAAAGTTCACATAAGAACTAAACCGCTGAGATGTCTCTTGCACTCGGTCTTAAAGTGAGCTACGGAGCTGTGGGAGAAGAAACATTTCTAAGGCTGCAACTGGAGACTGATAAATCTGATGAATCAACAAAAATAAGCACGTCAAATCTGAAAGACAAGAGCCATGAACCAAAACCAAATAAATTCCTTTGAAAACCAGTGGGATTATGTGATCGGTCACAGATGATGAAGGTGCTATACTGTAAATCTTCTGGCAATAAAAAAATCTGTACATTAACGTCTGTTAACTGGAGATTACGATAACATCATTAAAATCTTTCAGCTCCGTAGTGAACCTCTCACCATAATAGTGGCCAAGGCCCATGATGGCGATGACGAGGGCGATCAGGACATAGCCGAGGATGTTGCTGCCACGGCTTTGCATTCGGACATCCACATTTCTAACTTCTGCCTCCTCCTCCTCCTTCTCCTGCAGCCACTTATGTTCTTTGACCTCCTCTTCCTCCTCCTCCTCCTCCTCCTCCTCCTCCTCCTCACTCTGGCCAGACTCAAGCACCTCCTCCTCAGGCTCTGTGACGATGCTGGTGGTATTCTTCCTCAACCGTCGTCTTCGGACCACAGTGCTGGTGCTTCGTCCGGCCTCGTCCTCACTGCTGCTCGAGTTTGTCAACGTAGGTTGCTGCACTTGGAAAACTAAAGTCAAAATACACAAAGTTATGGCTGCAGTGATTATTTGCTGGAAAGAAATTAACAGAAAATGAGGGACACACAAACATAACAGGCTCAGAAAGCATGTGTCAGTGGGGCTAATCATGCTAACATATAAGAGCAAGCGTAGCGTTACATCTGCACCACAGGCAGTTTCTAAGATTTGCATTCAAAGGCACAGCCTACGAGTATCAGGTGATGCCGTTTGGCACCTTTACCAAATGTGTTGAGGCGACGTTGGATCCCACTAGGAGAGCGGTGTTTGATTTTTAGCCTATCTACATGATTGGGCTCTGATGGCGGGCTCCGGAGAGCAGGCAGCGGCGCAGCTACCTCTTCTTCTGTCCCACATTCAAGCTCTAGGCCTTTTCAGTAAATTTGCAGAAGAGCTCGATAACCCAGAGTCAGCAGTTTTCTTTTCCAGCACATCTGTCAGTGGCCAAGAATCACTGCTGCCTCCCTCAGTTTCTGTTGGAACGCAAACCACGTTCTCTGGAATCTTTGCAGCTAGTAGGCGGGATGGCGTCCATGATCGCTGTGGTGCCAATGTAATAGCTATGAGTCTGACCCATCTGTGGTGGCAACGATCCAGAGTGAGAGGGCAGCATCCACTCAAGGCCTATATGCTTACATGGCGAGCATTCGAGCAGTGGTGTCTGGACCAAAATGAACTCCCATTTCTCTATTGTGGATGTTTAGGTAGTTCAGGAGCTGCTGGATAAGGGTCTGTCTATATCTATATATAAGAATCAATAGTTACTATATCTACTAGCTATATCTGCCTGTGAGGTTGGCTTTGACGCAGGGTCCTTTTAGCTGGGTCTATGATGCACTACAGTGCAGGAGTTTGTGGTTGCTCTGCGGGGCCTGAATATATGTCCCTACTATACTATAGGAGTTGTACCAAGTGAATCGACTGAAAGGGAATGAAATGTTATGTCTACCTTGTGTTCCCCGAAGGAGAGGAACGAGGTACAACACCCGGTAGCACAGCTGGGCACGCTGAAGAGCGACTATCGAACTGATGGGTGGCCGCGGTGACGGACTGTCACATACCTCACCACAGGTCATATGCCTTAAAAAGGTGTGAATGGAGGTGTCTTCAGGTCAGTAGGGCATGATATCCCATATTATATGTGTTGTATCTCTTTCCTCTCCTTCTGGAAACAGTCAAGTTATAGATCTAACATTTTATGTTCTCCTAAATTCCCTGTGTGGGATATATTTTCTGGAATCACACTTTAAATCTGCTCATGCACACAGATATTAAACAAAAAAAGTCATGGGTTATGGCGGCATATTATCGGCTCACAATTCTTAAACTGACTGAATTTCACCATAATTCTAACATCACTACACTTATGATATTAATTACACTACTACGATCAGGTAGACAGACCTACAAAGACCCACGCATGCACACACATGGAGAAACGTTTTTTTTCCCACATGTGGTTGATCATGCTATTTTTAAAGAAGCACAGCTGGCTCACGTCATTAAACAGTGTGTGTTCTTGTCAGAAACGGGTCAGGATTAGTTCTGTGCATTGCTGAGCAAGCTTAGCATCGTATTAGATTCACTCCCGTTTCAAATCAGGCCACCTGGAAAAGAGCGGCCTCCAGTGAGCTGACTTCTCAGATGGCAGCCTAAGTTCACGAGACTCTGTGGAAGTTTCCAGTGACTCAACATCAAACCTGCTTTGATGATGTAGAAAAAAGGCAGAGGAACAGAGTTTTTTGTGTTGGTGTGTCTAATTCCTCTATGTTGACTCTTTGGCTGTGACATTAAATCAGCTGGCTGAAGAAGATAGTACAGTGTATGTGGTGTTGCAGTCCTACCAGCCTCTGCTGCAGTGAAGGCATACTGGCTGCTGCAGGAGGTGCCGAGGTAAAGCTCCCGATTGGCTGCTGCCTCCTCTTCCACCAACACATGCTCGCCCTCCTTCAAGTCTCCAAGAGTCACAATGTCTGAGTGATCGCTGGAGGACAAGAGAGCCACATGCTGTTTCCCTTTGGTGTCGTCTCCGGCCTGGTGGAGACACAATATACTGAAGTTAGAAGGCAAAGGGAGCAGCGTCTAAACTACTCAAAGACACCCTGAAGGTTATTTGTATAGTCTTCTCACCTCGGAGGCACACAATGTTTCATCTATGGTTTGTTCTTCCAGAGTTTCGTCAAGTGACTCTGCAACCTTCTCTTCAACACACTGAGCTGAAGATTTAACATACAAATTAAGATGTGTGAATAAACAAAGTAACATTTTACTTATTCATGCAGCAAAAATATATGCTATAGCAATGACGTTCATAATTAGAGCAAGTATTTTCATTATCCTGTTGATTACTTTCTTGATTAATTGTTTGGTCTATAAAGAATAATAATGCAAAATGACAATCACAAAGTCCAAGCTGACAAATTCAAATGATCTCTTTTGCTCGGACAACAGTCTAAAAAACAAAGACATTCAGTTTGATGTCATACAAGGCTAATTGGCAAATAACCACTTTTGAGTTTCTGTGTGCTTTGTTTACACAGTCGGGCCGGGCTCGTGACTTTTAGTGCATGTGAGCAACCGGCTCGCTAACAGCTGATCGGCACTGCGCTCATATGGTGCATACACCCGTTAAAATCTTCCCAGCTGATGGCACTCTTGGACGGAGGTTTGGAAGGCAGGGTTGAAGAAAACGCTAGTGCGCTTGCTCTATTGGTCCATGGATGCAGAAAATTACCCAGAGATTCGAGTAATTAAGATGAATTATTGGCATTAAGATGAACAGCATTGGGTAATTCTCACTTGTTTTGTTAATTCCATATATTCCTGTCTGCACATAAACACTTGATGCACCACAGAAAACCTTTTTGTTCTTATAATGTCATACTAATTACATAATTAGCAGTTCATATTACTGATATTAACTATTGTTGAACTCAAGAAGATAGAAGAGTTTATGATGAGGATTTTTTACCATCGTTTACAGAAGCCTGTGTATCCTGCAGCTCTGCTTCCTTCACTGGAGGGCGCTCTAACAGCTCAGCTTCCACTGCAGCCTCCGATCCCAACGTCTCGATATCTGAACCCTGTAAACACAATAAGCAAACATTAAAACTGAGCCTGATGGAAGAAATACATATACATATTTATTCAAAATCATAACTACTGCATCAAAAATCAGCCAATACATGCAGACGTACAGTATTAAAGCAAGGGAGCCTGCGGTAAGTATTTGTATGTAAGATCATTTGTAGCATTGACTAGCAACTACAACAAATAAGCAAAAGTACTCTTTAATTGCTATACCTCATTACTGATAATGGTCCAGCCACAGGACGACTCTGCATCACTTGACGGCTCTGACATTTCTGTCAGTTGTCAGCAACAGACAAGGATCTAGAAGAGATAATGAAGTTGAATACTGGAAACAGCATGTAGTGGTGAAAAAGTTAAGGTGCGTCAGTGAGTCATGAGCTGAACAACAGTGTCATAAATCTTCAGTTTTAACAGTCCAAAACTAGCTTATTATCGTCAATAATCAAGATATGAAATACAATAATATACTTCAAGAGTGCTATACAAATAAACGGTTTCCTTTTCTTTCTTTGGGTGTATTTGACAGTCAGATATATTAATCAAGTGACATAAAGGCATTAAAAAGCAGGAACCTGATACAAGCATTTGCTGCTAATTTTCTGTGTTCATTGATGAAACGTGAATGGGTCGGTGTGGAGTCACACTGACAACGAACAATGACACTAATATCTATATAAATAATAATAATAATAAAGAAACACATGTGAACAGCGACCTCTATCCGTGACAAACCACAATAGCAGCCAACAAATAAAGCGAGCTCCTGCGGCCTGACAATGAAAACACCAACGTTTCCCTCAACAACAGAGCTCTTCACTGTAGCAAACATCAGCATCGTCCATTAACATCAACCACACAGTGACATTGAAGGGTAGGCTCGCAGCTAGCTAGTTAACTAACTTAGAGGCTCACGTTAGTTTTTAACATCGCCTCTCTGAGCATCATCGGAACAAAAGGTAGAGCCTTATCGAGAACGTTAGTTCTCTTTAGCAGGCTTTAAACATCACTAGCTAGCTTGTGAAAAACTAAGAAAATGGACTTAACGCACCGGTATTTGTGTTCCCAACGACGAAGCAGCTGTTTACATGGAGCTCAAGAGTTATTGCAGTATGCCCCAGCTCATGTTATCCGTTAACAACACGGTACAGATGGCTGTAGATGGGAAATGTAGTTTTTAAGAGGTATGGGTGGAAACAAAGCGCGACGCCTTCCCCGAAGTCTTAGAACTACATTTCCCATAAGTCATCACAGTGGCCAAACGTGCTCAGCGAGGGTGGAAACAAATCTTGTGGCTCCGTAAAAAACATAAACAAGGAAGCGTGACAAAGCAGACCGCCAACAGAATGAATCATGACGAAAAGACAACAAAACAAACTCACTTGGGTGTGTTGTACTGTGTTGTGGCGTTAGCAGAAGTTTTATAAAGTCTGTCACGAATGCTGAAATGTGCAGCTGTTCACCAGAGAGCACGTGCTCGTCGTTGTTGTGGGCCGTTGGTGCGTTTTGTCGGCTGATCGTCAACAGAATGTTTGTTTGACTAATACAAAGTTATGTTGCCCAACTGGAAGGTCGAGTTCAGTAACTTTAGTGTTGCTGGTACTATGAGTTATTATACGACACTACCGTGCACCCTGGGAAGACTCACTCGTCATCAAAACCACCAAAAGTTAAATTGGTCCTTTAGTTTGAAGCAATAAATAACTAACATCGCACAAATACTGACACTCTAACACCACAGACACACAACAGAAGTACGAATGGAGTTGTGTAGTGGGTTTAACAATATACAAACAGGGTTTAACTGTATGGCAGACTGTTTGCCACATCACAGAATGAGGATACTGTATGGAACCAAACCTTACAAAATAATAAATAATTGTATATCATACATGCTGTTTTATATTTTTGTTTCATAATTATTGTAATAACTTCATTATGAATCAATAATCCTATGATTGCTGCATGTTATACCAGTAGAGGTCACTGTTAAGGTGTATATGTAGATGTGTGGTAATACAATTTTGTACAGGTGTTTTGCTCATAGTTTTACATAATAGCTTAAAGAGTATACGTTTATATACATGCAGCAATAAGGGAACTTTAAATTCTAACTGATTGAAGCACATTAAAGTGATGAAGACTGTGTAACATTGTCTGTAAAATCATCTCCAGCACTAATGTGACACTAACTGTCGTACAACAAGCTAAGACTTACTTGTAAAAATGTTTAAATGTATAACTTAGTCATATAATGTGCTTGGGAATGCAAACTTAGGTGTAATTTGAGTCTTTTTGAGAGAATTGTTGTATAAGTATAATGCATTTTCAGATTCTTTAAGTAAAGGTCGTAGTACCACACAAAAATATTTGCAGAAAAATGTATCGTTAAACCTTTCAAACACCCTTCATGTTTATTTACAAATATGTCTCCTGTCTGGAAGGCCATTGAAAAAGTTAAAGTAACAACTTGGATTGTGGATAAAATTACACTCTTTGCAGTTACAAAAAACTAAAGCAATGAAAAATGAAGACAGCATATTCAGTAAAAACAATTGAAGACATGTTGCATTTTTTATACTTTTATTTAATTTGAGAATCAGACTTTTTCATAATTAACCAATGTCTAAAATATCCTAACTAAACCTTTTTTTTTGACAAGAAATAACTTGCAGGTGACTTTGCTGACAAAGACAAAATATAACAAAACATTAACAGAAAACATAATAATTACAAAAAGGTACATTCAATTTTCAAGACTTAAACCTGCTTTCTGACTGAGGAGGAGCAGTTGTGGGTTTCCCTGAGTTTGACTAAAAATGACCCGCAGCGCTCCACCTCATTATCAAAACACAACAGTACTGCAAAAAGGGACAACAAGATTCTGTGTTTCATCCCTTTAAATTTGCACGTTTGGACAACATAACACCATTCATGAGATGAAAGACAACAGACCAACATCTCGGGACATTTGTTTGAGGATCTTGACCTCAATCAGATATTAATGACCCAAGTAAATTTAATCTGCACCTTTAACAGGAACATGAAAAAATAAAAACCTGAGGTAGCACTTATGTGTTATGTATGAACTAAAAAAGGCCCAATTCAGAACATGTATGGCTCCAGCAGCTGTGTGTGTATGTGTGTGTGTAGTTAAAGGTCAGTATCTTATCACAGCTTCACAGCATCACTTGAACATTTTGGGGTCAGATAATAAGCACAAGAGCTGTTTTCATATTCTGGATACAATACAGGATATATGAACACATTATGGATCAAGTTAAAATGGAAACGTATATCCTTCTTTTACTTTGTAAGGAAAATCATGACTCCACTGTATAAAAAAATCCATTTTATCTTGAAAGACAACAGATTTGTTTTTTTAAAAGAGGAAAACTTGATTTAGTGGAAATAAATGATGAAGAAACAGCTTTCATCCTGCTTTCTCTTAGAACAACATATTAAACAGTAATATGAGAACACTGAAAATGACAAAACATTTCACACAAAGATAGGATTCTTTTTAACGGACCTCTGTCAGTATGCCAATATGCAACGGTGACCTCTTAAAATAATATTTGGTTTACATTGTTTGCTTTTTAAAAGAAAGTTAAGCTGATTGTGTCACTTTTCATCCCGAAAGTTTTCCATGATTGAATCCTCCGCAGAATCCTCTGATTAAAAATACAGATATGTCAAAACATTTGAGTACTCACTGACCTTTCTACAATCTTTATGATAATTGAAAACAAATGTGAGATCTTCAAATTATCTGTATAAAAGGCATGACATTTAAATACTCGTTGTTTTTCTTGTTTAAAACGGATCTACTACGTGAGGAAATCTCCCAGATACAAACTTTTTAAATCATTTTGTAAATTATGTTTCACTCAGGTGAAAAATCAGTGGGTGCTCGTTTTCACAGGACTGCACTGTTGCAACACAGACACGACTCAATATAATATACTGTATTTAATAATTTTCACCTACAATTTACAGACATCTGTTTGCAACAGTTTTCGAGGCACTCTGCGACAGAATAATTTGATTCGTGTGCATAACGTTGATTATTTTTTTGTCACTCTATCATCATTAAGTGCCTGTTTATCCTGCTGGCACTTCCTCAGAGTTTTAACCCGCAACTCTCTTTATTCTTTTTGCCGCGGGTCAAAGCCACTAACGTGCAAGGCTTCGTTTGAGGAGCTCAACTGATCTCAAAGGCCGCGTTTCATCTTTGGTCTAACGTGTTTTGATTATTTCACATTCCTCAGTAACCTTCTGCCGGAGATTAGTTGAGAGACTAAAATAAACTCAGGGAGCAAACAACTCTTTGGTTAATAGCATCACAGTCACCGCTGCACATTGGCAGATAATACAAAACTACTTGGCAAACAAGTGCTACTCTTTATCTACTCTCCAACAAAACAAAAAAAACTACTTTCAGGTAACTAGAATGTGTACTCAGTACTATCTCTTCTAACAAAAATATAGTTCTATGGTGTCCATTCAAATCTTCATTTTCATCTCTGATTAAACACTTCCATTGCTTTTACTACAATCATTCTCCACATTTTGCATCCTCACGTGGAGCTTTTCCCTCAGAAAGATTAGGCTTTGGTTTCCACATCTGAGGGATGCTTTCCCACATTAAGGCCAATTATAAAGCTTTTCTGTACCGACACGCCACTGCAAGCACTGCTGGTGTGAATCTTTACACGAAGAAAAAGGAAGAAGTCAATAACAAAAGAGTCTGTTGTAAAAAACAGACGTTATAGGACCTGAGGAGAAACTACAGAGGGGGGTTTCATCTGTGGGGAGGGCAGATACATTCATTCTATTAGGCTCTATTACACTCTACAACTGTTTAGTACTGAGAAGATACCCTGTCAGTTAAGCATGTAACACTACATGACTTTTCAAGTGTTCTAAACTTTGTTCCCTGAGTTTAGGAAAACAATAAGACAATAAAAGAAATTCTTAATCGAGGTAGTATAAAACAGGAATAGCAAGGGCAGCTGCACACTGACATACAAAACAAAAGCAGACATTCATTATCTTTTCACACCATTACTCAACAATGGACAAAATGATCAAAAAACACTTAATACTGGCTCAGTACCTCAGCTACATCTGAGGAGATAAATAACAAACTGTATGTTTCCCATCCTTCACAACAGGTGGAGCGAGAGGACAGAGCTGCAGCGCCCTTACCATCCAGTAAAATCAGGACAAAGTAAGAGAAAAGGACAAAATTGGATGACAATCGGAAGACAAGTCATCAGGAAGTATAAAATGTAATGAAACTGAGGCAGCCCATCACAAACCGTAGGTATAAGTAGTTATTAAATATACAGTGGAAGGTTACCCGGAGGTAAACCGAGGTAGATAATAAGTGAAAAGGACTCACACTTCCCTTTCACTCCAGTGATAAACTCTCTTAAATAATGTCAGAAACGTCACTTTTTGTCACATTTTTTGAGTCTTTTTAAACATTCATGGTGGGTGAGATTTTCAAAAACATACACAGACAAATAAAGAAAAAAAGAAAAAGACATTCATTGAATGAAAAAGAAATAAGTAAAAGAAATCAAATGACCCCTCCCTGCCAATATTTTATACTGTAAAAGGCATTTGTCGGCTTTCTGTTCATTGTGTGTTGGCCCAGGATAAAGGTTGAAAAAAGGTTTCTTTCCTTGTTTCTTTCCAGCTTTCTCTCATACTTACATTCAGGCCTGTGGTACACTTACAACGCAAAAATAACTGCAGGAGGTTAACGTGGATGAATTTTAGAATTTTTAAATGAATTGCTTCCGTTGTTGGCTGCTACATAGTTAAAGGATCAGTTAGACATTTTGGGAAACACGCTAGAGTAGAGTAGACAAGAACGTGTTAGATGAAAAGATTGAAACCACTCTTCTATCCAAGTGGTCTCAATCTTCTCATCAAAGTCTCGCCAGAAGATGAATAATTGAGTGTAAAAATCAAAAAAATATGAAGCTGCAGTGAGCACACAGACATTTCTATGAGGTGATCTTCTCAGCTGTTTTGCTATTTTAGTGCAGTTTGACTTTTTTGCAAGTGTACCACTGCCTTCACACACACAAGCAAGCACACGCACACAAGCACACACACACACAAGCACACACGCACACACAGTCTCACACACACTCAGGCACACACACTTGGAGAGAAAGTGCAGACTCAGAACTGCTCTGCTCTTCATGACGACAGCAGGTGTTCTCCACAGACTCCATTAACTTAAGGTCAGTGTGACTTTCCTCCATCAGCTCTCCTGACTCTTCAGGGGGGGCGCTGCATTCCGAACCTCCGCTGTCCTCCGCCATCAGAGACGGAGGGCGGCTGCTGGTTCCAGACGAAAGGTTGGTCATCTCTGTCTCGTCGTGAGAGTAACGACCCGAATCACCGGTTGCGTGGCTGCCCTCACTGTTGGAGGAGCCCTCCGAGTCACCGGGACGCCAGAGCAGGGCCTGCAGGGTGGTGGGCTGGTCTGGAGACATCGAAAGCTCCTCTTCATAGGTCAACACTGTGGTCCCGGGATGGTAGGAGGCGGAGCTGTGTCTCATATTCTACGACACAGAGAACACATTGCTTCAGTTAGTCTGAGTGTTTATGGCTCCGTTGTGTAGTTGCAGATAGCTGCAACCTATCTTGATGTCACACGCAAACCTGCTGGAAATCTTATTCTGTCTTCACATGCTATCATCCAAATTATAAATAGGAGCCTCAGAAGACTTTTTGATTCAATTTTCCAGTCTTCATTGCAGTTCCCAAAAAGCCCTTTTTCTTTCCTCTTCATTTTGTTGCTCTTAGAGTAACATTTGGCAGATGAAAAAACAACAACCTCTATATCTTCTTTACATCCTTCTTCCTTATACCGTATTCATAATTACTAAATGAGAAAAGGATCACCTGAAAATGCCCTTCAAATATCAAAATTCACTCACAAGCTTAAGTTAGAAGGCCTTCTTTGTAAGCACTACTTAGCTCAATTCAGGCCGTGTACTACCTCCAACAAGCACCACAAAATAGGTCTGCTTAGGTTTAGGTTGAGGTTTGGGTCTACTCTTTTAATAGCCAGGTTTATATGCAGCCTGAGGCTCCATTAAGGACAAGAGAGTCCCTTGTAGTCTACACTACAACACTGGTAAAAAAATCAATTGTGGGTATTTGTTTTTGCTGTCAATTTACAAGTTGCTGATGACAATTTAACGAGCAGGACTCATCACTTATCTGAATGAATCTTACCTGCACTGCTTTGCTGTCCTTTTTCACATTACTGCTGAAGGAAAACCATTTCTCTTTCTTCTCAGTGCTGGACTGAACAGGGCCGAGAGAATTTATAATGAGATTTGTTCCACCCTAAAAATATAAAAATACATATTTTAAATTATATTGAAGTCTGAAAACGTAACCAGGACTCTATTGTAAAATAAATATGATTGGAAGTGATACTCTTGCAACTACATTGTATGTGGTTCAGTTAGTATCTCTGTTAAAATACAATTTCATGTTTCCAAAAAACATATTAACAAAAAAATATTTCACAAATTTCCAAACATTTTCTAGGCCTGAAAAAACCCAATATTTCACAATTATTTCAGGTTTCTGGTGAGCGTGTTATGCTGTACTAAGTGTCAAGTACCTTGGCATCAATGAAATTGTTTTGGCTCATCATCGGGACGCTCACATCAGCATGTTCAGCTTGTCCCTCAGAGCTCAGATGTCCTGCAGCCGAGGCAGATGTGTTCACTCCTTCTCCGTACGTTTTAACAGCTGACAATTTCCTGGAGGGAAACAAACATGACGTCACCACAGACAGACAACACTCAAGGAAATTTGGCTTTTGCTGTTAGAAACTTTATGTACTGGCAGCTGCTTCTAAGCATTCAGACATACTAAGTACCTGTTTTTCCCTCTGCAGACGATGATGAAAGCGCAGATGATGATGCAGATGAGAGCGATGCAGACTCCAACAGTGATCCCTGTCATTGACTTTTGGTCCAGGTGGTAGAAGCCATCAGAAAAGCCTGTGAAGCATGAAGCAACATTGTCAGAGTATCAATCATTTGCCAAAGCGCAGTCGGAAAAAGCTTAATCAATTTCAATGCCTATGAAAGGAAAACCCCAATCGCATGTTATGAGGTGATTCTGTCAGGATTACGTTGATGTTACTGACCTGTGGAGCGGGTGGAGCCTCCAGAGAGCCGGGGATCATGACCAGAGGAGAAATCTGCTTGGACTGTCAGCTCCATCGTATGAGAAAACGGCCCATCACCCATGTGGTTGGATGCAGAAACTTTCACAAAGTAAATCTGGCCAGGCTTTAGCTTCTCCAGCAGTGACATGGTGATGGTTCCTATTGGTGAGATTTAACTCTGGTGTTTAACTGCACATTAACTGCACATTGTGAAAAAAATAGTGAAAAGGTTTTTTTAGTCTATTCAACCTTATTTACTGTTGTTTAATAGTTGTTAATGTTCTGTTATTTTGGGGCTCCACTCTGGTGTTAATTACCCCGTTATATCTCCGTACGTAAAACAAAAGTGTAAAACTCACAAATCGCAGAAAGTGAATATGTTTTGAGTTTCCCAAAATGTTCAACTATTCTTTTAATGTCTAAATATATTTAAGCACCCCAACAGGAGAGATAATCTTAAATAAACACACATAGTTGTTGCACTGTTACCCCAAAGACAATCCTCATAGCTGAGAGATGCTATGTGAGAGAAGAGCAGGGGGTCAGGGGATCAGGGGTTCAGGGCTATACACATTCCCTTATTCAGTACCACCCAGTCTACACACCACCAGGGTCCCATCAGAGACCAAAGAGAGGTCGGTGTTCAGTTTGAGGGGATGGGCTGGAGGGGCTTTGTGAACGGCTTTACTTTTGACCCCCTCACCAGGGGGAATAGGGTGTCTTCTTTTCTTTCATGAGGTCATCTGCCCTGAAAAACACCTACGTTGCCTCAGAAACCAGATAGAGCGACAGCTTTACAATGCCTGTGACTGAGTGGAATGGTTTCTTTACAAAGAGAGCTCACTTTACTTTTGTTGCGGCAAAAATATTGTAGGAATCATTCAGTATATTTGTTGAAGTTGGAACTCTCCACTAAAACGTTCTTTCTGCCTTAATCAAATAAAACAAAAACAAAAATTCTATGAACAGATAACTCTCACTTGCAGTTTATATCTCTGTGAATCTGTCCATTAAAGAGTCACTTTATGTCTGACACAATTCCCACTGATTACACAAATTGTAATTGTCCCATCATAAGTGTAAATTAAAAAACAAAAAATGCTCCCAGGTAACTGTTATAATGTGGCAAACAATGTGTTTCTATTTAGACAACTTCATAGGAAACTGCATCTTGCTTGAAAGAGCGCATTTAGACCTGCACACAAAACGTCTGCTGTAGAATACACAATGAAACCCATTTTAAAAAGTCATTGTTCTGATCCTGACATAGTTATAGACACAGTTATGTCTAAACATGGTTTAAAGAAAGTGTTTTAAGATCAACTAGAAACTACACGTCGATGAAGTCTGTATGTTGATTATTTTAGAAAGCTTGACCATGATGAAAACTAATCACATACACAATCTGACACGGATGACACTTTACAGCAGCGCAGAAAACATACACACACGTACGTACAAACACAAAAGCCTTCTTTTTGCTTATTCACATTGAGAATATGAGTTTAAAGCTGCATTTATCTGCAGACTTTAGAATAATACTTGATCAAATGCATACAATCAGAAAGAGATAATAAATGCGTTCAACACTGCTGCACTTGTATTTGCATAAAGTGTATTGCTGGGAAAGATATGGTCTGTTTTTATAAATAGAAGTGGTTCAAAATAGTCTTTGTGTGAAAAGGGTCAATAAGAAAGTAAATCAAAATCTTTGTTGTAATCACATGAAACCTCAAAACTGGTCTTTTATCAGTAAGACAAAAGCAGTGAACTCAACCTGTCATGGCACCATTCAGGGATCACAATGAACAGAGACAAGGAGGAGAATTAAATGGGTTACTGATTTCCAATGGACCATTTGTGTGGGACAGTAGGAAGTCTTTGTGGTTCCCCCTGCATACCTGTATAACCTCTTTCTCTCCACACTCCTCCTTACCTTCTCTTTGCAGCACTAGCCATTCCCCAGCTATCCAGGCGTTTCTGGAGGCATACAGGATGGTGTAATGTGTCACAGCTACGTTGGGTTCATCTGGGGGTTTCCATGAAACCAGCGCTGTGTCCTCTTCAATCAGAGTCACTTTCACATTGGAAGGGGGCAGAGTGGGAGCTGTGTGGGTGCAGACAGAAGGAACTTGGTCAAATAAAATTACATTGCAGCAGCAGCAGACATCACAAACTCACAGATCATCATATATTTAACAATACGATTTAAATGTTTGATCATTTTGCACTCACCATCGGGGAAAGTGCTCTGATAGACCACAGGGCTCCAGGGGCTGGACAGCTGGTCAATGTGAAGGCGAATGGCAAATTCATACTTGGTGTTAGGCTCCAGATCTCGCACCAGGAGGCTCTGCTCACTCCTGTAGAAGAAAGACATAACAGAGGCTTTTTAGGGGCGAGTTCATTCAAAACATACTACATTTCCTTTTGCCTAGATGAGGATCTATAATCCAAATCAGTTCAACGTGATTTGCCGAGGTTTTGAGATATCAGTTGTGTAGATCACTCTAAAACAATACAATCAATGGAAATGGTGTGCCACAGAATACAAAAATACATTCAATATGCAATCATGCTGTAATTATATTAATCCACATGTGTGTTTGTAAACTGGTCCTTTAATAAAAGGCCTTGCCCAGCAGATGGTGATATGGAGCTGTGACGGCAATGGTGGAAAAGAAACAACTGAGAGTTTCTGGTGACCAGTAAACTTTCTCCAACAAGTATGAGGAAAGTATTTTTGTTGTTAAGCGTAAAGGGTTGTAAAGAAACCGTTTTGGAGATATGATTCAGATGAGGCTGTGATATGTCAATAATATAATATGGTGTTAAGATAAGAGCTGAAATGTGTCATGGGACCAAGTCATCCCACAGGAAGATACACAAACACACAGTTAAATGTGTTTTAAATAAGTGTTTCACGTTCCATGAAACACTTATTTAAAACAGGAAAGCATTACATAGAACTCCCCACAAATGTATTAAAGCTGCATTAATCAATTTCATAGTTCAACACAGTGATTAAACCTGCATAACATTAGAAGTTATATGATGAAGAAATTCTTACGTCTGCAGGTAGAGCACCAGGGAGGCGTTCTGCAGGTCCACTGGGTTGCAGCGGACAGTGTAGTTGACCGCATGGCTGGAGGTGAAGGCAGGTCGACCCCAGCGCAGAAACACCGCGGTCGAACTGTTAGTCTTGGTGTACACGTTATGAGGAGGAGGTGGAGGGGGCACGAGGCGATCTCTAACAGCTGAGAGATACGTTGAAAGTAATGTTATTTAATATTCAAATACAAGCGACAGCATCATGCTTCAGAGTCAGACACACAAAAAAAATGTCTTTTCAAGTATATCGTGGGACTTACAGACACATCCAGGAGTGCTGATAGTCTGGTCAGCCTGGTAGCCATCTCCCACAAAATTATAAGCCAGCAGTTTAACGTGGTACTTCTTCCTTGGGTCTACATTAGGAAAAAGGAAGATATCAACATGTCTAAATAAATCACATCATAGAAATGTGAAACACACAAAATTCTCACTGCAAAATACATCAGTCTACTAGCAGTCACAGATCTGGACTTCAGTCAGCATCCATAGAGATTTATTCTCACCAACACTCAACTATTCACCATGGACCACAACACCAAGACAGATGACAATGTGATTTCTACAGCTAACAGGAAGCAGGAGTGTTACATGAAAGAGACTTGGACTGTGTGGGGTCAGTGAGGTCTTCTGGTTTGATGGTGTGGTGGGAACCAGAGGTGAGGCTGTGCGACAGATGCTCAGTGACGTAAGTCCTTTGGTCAGTTTCTGCAGCACTCGGTGCAGCAGAACAGAGGAGCTCCACTATCCATCACCCCGTCACCTCGAGTCTTTTGAGAAAATAAGAAGGCCCTTTCTACGGCCCCAATCAGGCCTGCTGGTCATTGGTCAGTGGCCACTCCTATTCAGGTCCAGAATCTGGGGGTCAAATCGAAGGACAAAATCCACTGGGAAGGACATCGCATGTCGGTCAACAGCAGTTGCAGGCCTCAGTGACCCCGAAGACCCTGAAGACCCTGCGCTGAACAAAAGCCATCTGACCAAATGTCCCTTTTACCCCTACAAGAATAATGATCAGGGTCTGATTTGAATATTGCATACAATTTCGATATCCTGGGTCATATCTGTCAACTCCTCCATACAGCAAAAAAAATGCACACTGATCCTCAACCTTTTGAATGAACGTATCTCAAATGCTTGGTCATGCTTAGGTGGAAAGATGAAAATCCCTTTTGCAATACTATGTATGCATATATTGATAAATTACGATCAAAGCAGTTTTTAATCTGAGATCTAGGAACTTTAAAATATGTATGTTTGTTTATCAGAAATTCACCCGACTATAAGTGCACCTTTTGAAACTGTTTGTGCTTACTAGTCACTGTGTATCAACTGTAAAATATGCTGCAATAGATGCCACTCTAAAGCAATATATTCTTGCCAGCTTGTTGGTTACCGAAGCACATAAAGAAATGTATAGCTCAAAAATGAACATGTGTATTTTACTCAAATTGACACTAAAATAATCTTGACTCTATTTCTATTATTACAGTCCTGTCTATCCTGCAGAAAGCACACTTCTGCTGGAGTATGAGACATTTAGGGTCTCTTGAGAAGAGGCAGACCACAGGCGATGAATTTGTGTGCATGGATCTTAGAGAAGTTTAGGAGGGGTGGAGTCTAGCTTCTTGCACTCCCATACAGCCCTGAGGAGTTTCACTGGAGCCAGACCAGGGCCAGTAGGTCAGGCCGAGATTAAACTCTGAAAGAATCTGAGGTCACGGTTTCGGAATATGAGATGAGCCTTATTTTTTATGCCCAGAGATTCTCCCTGTTGAAAACTTTATAGCTATTTGCAATGACAAATAACAATAAAAGAAAAATATGAACAACTAATCACCGATATGAACCGCATCATGAATTGCTGGAAGAATTGTCTGTACGGGGTAGATAACTGTCGAGCATAGCAAGATTAATCTCAAGGAAAATAAGTTCTCTTGATATATTTATTTTTCTTGTTGCAAGAGATGAATAAAACCAGAAAGCCTGCACTTTTATACAATGTCCACCTTGTTATCCAAAGTTTTCTGCCCAGTTTGTTATGCCTTAGTGTCGACCTCTGAAGAGGAGCAGGCACATAATATGTACCTCTACCCATCCCCACAATACAATGGGCCTGTCGTAATTATGCAAGAGAGTAGCTCTGTGAGGGGGGAAGCTGTGACATCTGGGCCACGACCTTTGACATGGAATCTGGGCAAGCTAAGTCCTGCAAAAGGAGGGGTGATAGGCCTCTCTGTGAGCGGGGGAGGGTCAAGCGGAGGAAGTGAGTGTAAAAACAGGGAAACACCAAGAGTCAAAATAAAATGCCACATAATAGGTGTCCTGATCAGAGAAAACTAGGAGGAAAGGTTTGTTTTTCACTCACAATGGACCCGACATCTGAAGCTCTCACCTTAAAACAATATATGATGTGACCATGTAGCAAACCAATGACTACACTCTCTACCACAGAATAGTCATTATTCATGAATGTATTATGCTTTTCAATAAGATACTGATATTAATCCTGCAACTAACATTTATTTCTATTATCGGTTCGTACCACAAATTCTTAGAGCCAAAGTTAATGTTTTCAAATGTCTTGGTTTGTTCCACCAAAAGTCCCAAACCGAATGAAATTCAGATGACAGTGACATAAAACACGGAAAGCAGCAATCTTCACATTTCAAAAGCTGGAAGCACTGATCTTTGGCATTTTTGCTCGAGTTAAAGACGTAAAGGATTAATCCACTATCAAAATGTATGCTAATTCATTTTCAATTATTCTACTAATTGTTTCAGTAGGACCTGATATAGCAGTGAATGCAGAACTAGAGTTAAAAAACATGAACATGGCTGCATTACCACACATTACATTCTTAGAGGGCTGCGCTCTGCTAGAGTTTCCATTCTTTGAGTGAAGACATTTTCCTGTCCTTCCCACTGAGATAAATCTCACATGGCCTTACTCTCATAAATTATGCTGTTTGTATTAAAGGATATATTTGAGCCATTTGTGGTCACCCTTTTTTTTTTACAGCCAAAATGCAGATCCTGCTGGCCTCTTGAGCTTTTTGTTCTGCCCTGCTAAAGGCCCCCCAGGCCGCGGCAAGCCTGGCCTGAACAGGGGCCATAAATGTCAACTCCTGCATGAACCCTCACAGGACCAGCATCTATCATCTCTCTCTCTCTCTCTCCTCCCCTTCTCTCTTTTGCCCTTACCCACACAAATCAACACAGACGCATACTGACATACACACTAAGCATACTCTTTGAATGTTGTAGTGCAAATCTAGTATTCACACGAAGCACATTTATCAAGTGGACAAGATGTAAGATGGCCTGCAGCTATGAGGTAAATCTACAGTTGTGCACACAGCGCTGCCTGGTGCCAACAGGTATGAGAGGTATTTAAGCCTCGACTACGACTCATGAGCCAAGCAGAGAATACACATTCGTGGAAAGGTCACATCATCGTGTAATTTATACCTAACTGGAGCCTCTCAACACACATTCCTGTCTCTCAGGGTGTGCTTTTAATCATCTGGATTGGTCATAAGAGATAATTTAACAGCCAGCTCCGAGCATGTCTTTCTGCAGATGCACAAAGAGCTAATTCTGCAGCATCCAGTTTTGCTACAGCTGGCAGTTCAGAAATCAATGTTATTGGCAAAAAAGGGACGGCTTCTGTTGGATTATAGGAATTGCCATTTACAGTACAAGCTGATTTAATTTGCAAAGCAATCACCTGCTGAGAAAATTCCACAGACAGCATTTGATGGTCTCAAGGACACAAAATGTGGACTCTACGTTTCCACACTACATTTCCATTTTAAAACCTTTCACAAAATGTGTCTGTTTCAGTATATAGAGGAAGATTTTAGAGGAATATCTTAAGTATCAAGCACTACCATTAATTATTAAAGACTAATATAATACTCCAACCAATCTACTTTCTGTTTACACTGGCACCCGCATGCCCAGTGTACGTGAATAGTCACGTGATATTCATTTTCAGGCGTGTTAGTATGGACGGAAATCATTTTCCAGAGATTGTTTTTGTTTTAAAACCCCGGTAATAAGCGAAAACGTATTAGTGTGGATGTAGCCTTACATTAGAGCATCTGTAGCTTCAAATCTTTAGAGAGTCCTTCAAAATGCAGCTATTAACATTTGCAAAGATTATTTCTCAGGCAATATACTGAGAAATAATCTTCCAAAAAAAAGAAGGTATTATAATAAACTACGTAGTTCCTGTTTATCAATCTATCAGCAACAAAATGTACCTTGGCTCAATTCATTGCACTCAAAGGTTTTGCTTCCACAGCTTCACTTTGTCTGGTATGACCAACGGCTTTTGATGGCTAACGTTAGCAAACTTTAGATACGGTAGTAGAGATGCACCGATCTATCGGCAGACAATCAAAACCGGACGGTTTTCAGCTGACCGGCCATGATGGGTGACCGGCCGATCAGTCTCATATTTTTTGCAGGTCACATTTAATGAATTAATGGTGCAGCTATAATAATAATAGCAAAAAGCAATGTCTTAAAGAAGGAAGTAATGATTAGTGAAAAGCGCTAAAGTCATTTCGACAGATTCCTCACAGCACAGCAGGGTTTGCTCTGATGCAGGATGTGTTGCCACACAGGGGGTCAGATGCTTTTGCACAGTGCAAAAGCACTAATTCATGAGAAAGAAATCTCAGAACTGAAAGATAGCGAGCTCACAAGACACGCTCATTGTTTGGCCCAGAGCTCGGTTGGTGAGAGGTTGCATTTCCTTTAAGTCTTGGCTAATAAACTATCTTTGTGGCTCTCAGAGCCAAACACAATGAGTCTTTGATGTCAATGCTCCTCCAGCAACGCTGCTCAAAGCAGTCATAAAACACGTAATAAATCTGCCTCCACAGAACAGCTTCCCTCCTTTCAAAACACAGCGCTGGAAAGCTCTCCTTTATCAAAGAGGAACAAAAATAGATTATTTCTATTCAGCCGAAGCTCTATTTGTTATTGTTGTTAATTTTGTTTATTGGATTAATATTATCAGCAGCTGTGAATGCATTTTCCTCTTTATCAAACCTTCAGTGCAATCTGATGAAGTAAGAAAGAGCACTCAGTCAACTTTAAAAAACCGAAGAGCTCTCCATATTAGCATCATCAATACTACCAATGTCAACATAAAATAAAATTCTAAATGCAAATCAATTGGATTTTTGCAGTTCTTTCTTAAGATATTATCAAACCAGGCATGACTTTATATTTAGCTGAATGAGTTGAATAATTATTGTAATTGTTTAGAGTGGTTGTCGTTGGTTTCATAGGAGATGTATTGTGTTTAACCCATTGAACTAAATATCTAACTAACTAAACGCCTGCAGCAGTTGGATTTAACGCCTAAAGTAATTTATAGTGCCACCTCATCTTTCTTTCTTTCTGATCCCATACAAGCACTGAGCTTCCTGATTTACAAGTCAGCTGCTGACCACCTGGTTGACCCCTCTAGCCACAGATGGTCAGTTGTCCACTGCATTGGCCTGAGCCCCCTCTCCTCACTCAAACAAAAAAAAAGCCAAAATAAATCTGACCCAAAGGCCAGAAGAGCTGCGATATGTCCAAAACACCATCCAGCAGCTGCTGAAAAGACGCACACTTTGAAATCCTGCACAGAGGTTGGGAGGTCATGGAAGTGGGATGTGGTGCTTTTCTGTTGCACGGCTCAACACATAAGCCAATTAATCACTCATAAGCTTAGCTGTCGAAAGATGCTGCTGCTGGTTTTAACCACCACAAACTATTTCAGTTAAAGTTTTGTGAACTTAAACATTTTAAATGATGGTTAAGACATGCAAGTTTTTAATTAAAAAGTCTCACTCATTTGGATACATATATAAATATATATATTCTTATATATATATTATATATAATATAGTTGTTGTCATATTGCTTCACATACTCTCATATGTGAAAAAGAGTAGTTAAGCTGCCTCATGACACATCACTAGCATAATGAGATGTCATGTTTTGTGCTAGTAAGTCCAATAATTATGCTATTTTAGAAATTAGATAGCAAAAGTATACATTTTCCACATCACAAACAGCATTATTGATAGGAACTTGTACTTTAAAGCACTAATGAGTTATAGGAGTTTTTAAAAAAGTACTTTTTCCATCAGCAATATGCAAATCTATGCAGCAAGGTGCTCTAAGATCAGATAATCCACTGTATAATGTAAATATGAAGCTTTTGTGGTGTTTTGTTGTTGAGTGTTGGTATTCACAAGTAGACTATGAAAATACTGTATGATGGCCTGCATAACAGGTGCCGCAGTGGCAGCAGGTAACTCAAATGATCTGAAACAAAACTTACCAAGCCCTCCGAAGGTGTACGTATTATCCAAGGCACGCAGTTGAACCGGGGCCCTCTCTGATTGGCTCTCCTCATGGTAGAAGAGTCTGTAGCCTTGAACACTGGCTGAGTTCCTGGGTGCGAGCTGCCAACGCGCCACGATGGTGGTGCAGTTTAAAGGCTCCAAATGCAGCTCTGGAGCCATAGGAACTACGGAAAGAAGAGTGAGAAAATTAGATAATGATATGTCGGCAATCCTACACTAACACAAAAAAGTGTTCACACAATCTTTTCTGGTCCATGAAAACAAAAGCACTCCAGAAAAATGTGAATCAAAATAAACAGTGCTGCTTCATAGACATTGCATCTTATGACTGAAGCTTTCTTTTTTTTCCAAAAACAGAAACTTGTTCTTAGAAAGTTGGAATCTCTTCATCAAGTTGCTTCCAGACTTCAGAGGAGGTTCCTAACCAGGATATTTCTTTGAAAAGTGAAACTACCACCTGATCCCTAAACAGCTGTTTCACACTCAATGCAGACCAGAGACAACCACACTAGCAGTCAGGGAGCAACGTCACACATGCATATTTTAGGAATGAGGGGACTGAAGTTTGACTATAGAAGACTCCTGTCTGCATTTAAACTTGAGACAGAGGGCAATAGAGATGGGCAAGAAAAACAAATCCTCCCCTCCCCCACCTCAAAGCTTCAGATGTGGTTCTAAACAGCCAAATACTCTTTCCCACCCAGAGGCCTGAGTCCTTTATGACCCATGACTGAAACCCTTCCAATGATACCGACAGTGTGGGGCAAAGGCCAAAGAGTAACAAACGCAATGCCTTAACATGATTATTAGAGCAAGCTCCTCTCCTGATTCTCTCATGGTTTAATCCGAAGAGAAAAGTTCAGTGATAATTCAGCTTTTTGCACCAACTGTCTGTGTGTCTAGATGTTAATATTTTGTGCCTGCATGTTTGAAAATCGGAAAATCTTTACTTCATCGTCTTTAATAAATCCTGTAGGTAACTCTTCCAAAAGTTGTACCTCGAGCACTAGATGTCTTCGGAGTGCGGTGGGACGTCCAGACAGACTGCTCTCCCCACCCAACGCTGGTGGCAGCAACAATACGCAGCAGGTAGATGGTGTCAGGCTGCAGGTTTTTCAGGAGATGCTGGGTCTTGTCTCCAGGGAGCTCTATCGGTGAAACTGTATTCTCAGTAGTGGTGCGATATGACAAACGGTAGGCGGAGACTCGGCCACGACTCAGCTTGTCTGGAAGGGGCTGCCAAGATACTTGGATGTCCATGGGACTGCGACTGGTGAGGCTGAGCTCAGGGGCACGGAGCGGAACTGTGGAACGACGAGACAAGGAAGTTAAAACCAAAAGAACTCCTGTGAGCCAAAGAAAACAGGAAAGGTAACCCCTGATGCTCTGAATAGATGTCCTTCTGAAGGTTTGTCTTTACTAATAGGAAAGAGGGGAACCTTAGAATAGGGTTCAGTGGATAGAATTTTTTCCAAACATGGTAGATCACTGACAATATATATTCAGTGGCCTCCCCATGAGCTGCTTCAATTGGAACATTAAGAAGTGAAATCAAGAACTTGAGTTACGCATGAAAATTACACAAGGTGAAAACAACACTATTACCTCTGTGACCTAATTCAGACTTATTGTTAATGTTGCAAATCAATGCAGGGCTGTTTCATGGCAAGATTTGATTTTTTTCTCCAATCAGTTTTACAGAAAATAAACCATATCACAATATATAGCGACATAAGATTTAATATAAAACAATAGTTTATTATTCATATTGCTCATCCTAATACAAACTAACACTAAAACCGAGCAAATAGAGGCATCTACAGTTAATAATGTAGCTCCTCTGGAATTAGGTGTGAATTTGATACAGCTACACATCCTGTATTTAAGTCATATTTTCATCTGAAAAACTGACACACAGGATCTTACATGTTTAAACTAATCAAAATACATGCTATTTGTTTCTCCCTAATTAAAATTGGATTAAATTGTCTTTACCAGAGCACAATTTGAGGTGACCTCAAGCTTGACCTGAAAGCTATGTAATACAAGTTTAATAACTTAACAGCCACAGACGGACACATGGCAGCGTTTGACCCACAGGCCATGAGCAAATGAGGTTGGCCTGGAATTAAAAAAAACTCGAGGGGCATGGAACATAAACACAGATACACAGACAAACACATGAGTTTGTGTACGTAGGCACAGACATACATGTACTGTATGTACACTGTGTACAAATACTTTGATTGTCTCTTACATCAACAACAAAGCTCATTCACTGCAGTTAAATATTTCTGTAAACAAACTCTTCTGAGCTCCCACTAGGATAACATAGAGTCTTAGCGTCTCTTTAAAGATCCATTATATCGGTTCTTTCTTTATCTGTCCATTTTACTCTCTATCTATGACTTGCTTCTGATTTTGTTTTCAGTGTGGGAAGTCTGTAATATTTGTGACCTTCAGTAAGTGTAAGCCTCACCATCCTCGAGCGTGTGCTGGAACACGTTGTCCGACATACGACTGGCTCCCATGGGCATGTAGGCCACCACGTAGAAGGTGTAGTTACGAGCCGGCTCCAGGTCATCAATAATGTAGCGAGTTGTATCGTTTCCAATGACAACTTGATATTCTTCGTTGTTTAATCCTGGACATATGACATTGTAAAAGGAGTTATATATTAAAACAAATAAAATACAATAGTACACTTCTAGACACAACAGGAGACATCATATCCAGTCTGCAAAAAAGTGTAAAAATATGGTCAAAGTTCATGTTGTTGATATGGAAAAACATTTTTTTGTTAATGTTTTCATAATTTAATATGTGTACAGTTTAATCGCCAGTGGGGATACAGTTTATGTTTTCTCTCATCAAGTTACAAATATAAGATATTGCTCCATTCACCTCTTCTTATTTTGTAATTAAACTCCACACAACCACCACAGGTCAAATATCATTTTTCCTCGAGTCCCAAAAACATTTTCATGCAGAGTCTTGTCATTACAAAATATTACACAGCGACAGTCTTCACTTCTTGCAGCAGTTGTTTTGTTTCATCTCCAGTTTTTCAAATGACCTACTGTGTAAAAGTTATTTAATTACAGCAGATTAGCAAAGACACAAAAAAGATTTTTGTCCTGGGTAAAAAAAAATGAACGGTCTAATTTCTGACTTGGTAAACAAGATACTTGAAGAGTGAAAAAAAAAGCTTTCTTCGTAGTCTGAATGCAGCAGTAAGCCTCTCAAAAAATGTAACAAAGTCTGCCTTCCTGTCCAATTCACACCCTCCCACAGCCCTCACAGAACACACACTGTTGGACACTCCATCACACGGCTAATTAGTTCCTCCTTTCATTAGAGCCTCCATTTAGTGCTGAGCTTTTTTTCTTTAACTTTAGGTACAGAGCGTACTGTTCGATACTCAAGGTCAGTGAACAGCCATTCTCTGTGACTGGGAACAACAAAATTGTGCCACTAAATCTAAATCAAGTGCAGAAAATCCCTGACAGATGCCAGTTATTCAACAAACCAGAGAGAATTTATTCAACATGGTCTTTTTATGTTGACCTCCTTATCCCCAACTAAATCTAGCAGGTGCTCCTTTCTCTCTAGTTGAATTCTGTACATTTCACCTCCCCAATGGAAGTCAGTGACATTATAATTAAGTGCATTGCTTGAGTGAACATACTGATTTTTTGAATGTGACTCTTGTTGTCAACAGCAAGAGTTCCCAGGAAAGCTGAAAGGCTATTCTGCTGCCACATTTCAACCCTTGTGCTTTATGTGAATAGTTTTGTGTGCATTCTGCATTTTATCAGCCAAAAGGAAAGGAACCTGCATCTTGAAACTCAACAGGGCTGTAGAGGGTCTATCTATAGAGGACTACTCCTGTTAGTCAAGAAAAAGCTTGTTGTTGTCTTTATTTTAGAGAAGTATTTCTTTTTTTCTTCCCTTGACCTCTGCCCACCAACATAGCATTAACAACACATAGCCATCAGCTCCCACATTATAGTTACTAGACAGGAAGTGACAAAATTTAAGTTGCTAAACTGCCATTTTCTGAGACTTTAAACGGACAACGGCTTTGTGTCGTTGCAATGAGGCTGAAAGCTAAAGATGTTCGGCATCCCTCCATGTTACCAGTGCCCCGGAGCAAAAGTCTGCATGGTGTTGCTGAATGAAGCGTTTTGTGTCCTCCGGAGGACCCGCGTTGGCAAATGATGTATCATTGCAACGATACGAAGCTGGTTGACGCTAAATTTGTGTTCTTCTCTTTTAAACTAACATGAGATTTTATATGAATAACATATGAATAAATGACGGCAACCTGTCACTGGAGACAGTATCCTTGTGTGACAAAAAGACAATGAAAATCTTATCCTTGTTATCTGTTTGTTTGAATGCCACTCACCTTCAGCCTTCATGTAGTGCACCGAGTAAGCAATAACTTTATCTGAGTTATACTGAGGCCTTTCCCAAGCCAGAAGGATGGCGGAGCTCGACACGGTGTCAGCTTGGATATTCCTGGGAGCACTCGGCCGATCCTCAGACATCACCACGATGAGCCTTGCCATGGAGAGGACCGATCCCAGCTCGTTCTCTGCCTGGCACTGATAAATGGCATCGTCCTCAGGGATGATCTGGTTGATGACCAGTTTGCTATGTGACACAGACACACAAAGATGAAGAGGCTCCTTTACCAGGATGTAATCATTCTGTAATTACCTTTAACAAGCACTGACAATTGAATAAGGAGCTGGAGCAAATTATAATTACAGGGAAATAAACTAAAACCCCATTTGCACTGCTGTAAATTATTCAGTTTCCTTTCTACTGTAGGGAATTATTTATTTAAACTGTTTTAAATTAGCTAAGAAAGACTGTTAGACAAGCATTTCATGGTGCAGTAAAAGGAGTTAGGGTTCCTGTTTCCATTATCTCTGTGCATACAGACGCAAATACATGTGACTGGCAGAGAAAGGGATTTATAGATCTCAGGAATTATTCCTTAAATGGCAAGAGGAATATACCTGTTATACATCTTGATTCGACCATTGGAGTGAACTTTCTCTCCGTTCTTGAGCCAAGTGATTTGAGGCGTTGGAAATCCTACAGCTTGACACACAAAGCGGGCGGTACCGGCACGGGGACGGGTCAGGCTCTCCGGCCACTCGACCAAGGAAGGTGGTGCTTTATAAGGAAGAACATCAATGAGAAAAACATTTGTGAATTATGAATTATCAAAACAAAATCCAAACATACGTAGCCAAACTGCAGTATATCTGTACCTAACACAGTGATATTGGCTGAAGCCACTGTATAGTTTCGCGTGCCAGGAGTGGTGGCTCTGCACATATAGACTCCTCCATGCTGGGGCTTGATGTCTGTGATGATGAGGTTGCCGCTTCCCAACACTTTGGTGTTGTAAACATCAATAGACTTGCTGTCTGCTCGGCTCCAGGAAATGATGGGTCTGGGATTGCCTGTGGCCATGCACTCTAGGATGGCACTCTGATGCAGCGACACTGAAATGTTCTGCGGCCCAGCAATGATGCGTGGCCTCTGGGGAAGCTTGGGCCTGGAAGCTGCAGGGAGGAAGACAGCTTTAGTGCATGTGGGGTTATGCGACGGACATCGTAGATTTGAGCGAACAAATAAGCCTTTCAACAAACTATTGACTGGTCTACAACTGCTTGAGAGACTCAAACCAAGTACCTCACTGTGACAGTGTAGTATTGGTTTTAATATGATAATTCTTTCCCAATTTCTCTCCTAGAATGAATTATAGAAGACCCATCATATTTGATAGGTTTAGGTAAATGTCTACAGCAAACACAGTTTCTGCTTTGTGATGGATATTTTACAACTACACTATGTGTTGATGCCCTTTACACAAAGCATTTGCAAAAAGAGGTTTTACTGACACACCTGGGGTTACAGTGAGGGTGGCCTCTGTGCTTCGGCGGCGGCTGGCAATGTTGGTGGAGATGCAGCGGTAATTTCCAGCATCTGCCCGCTGCACCCCGTGGATCTGGAGAACACCACTGGGCAGGACTGTGATTCTGGATGACAGACATATGACACAACAATTATTACTCACAATATGGAAAAATTACACATCAGACATTCATAATAACTGATAATGGATAAGAATGTCATCGATCTGCTGACATTTATACCATGAAATTAAACTTAAACCAACGGAGTCCATACCTTTCAGTGGCAAGGGGTAACGTGACCCGATTGAACTCCCAGGTGATCATGGAAGGAGGGTGTGCACTGATTTTGCAGGAAAACCGGGCAACTGAGCCTTCAGTCACCACTATAGACGTTGGCTGGATTGCAAAAGCGTAAATACCTGCAGCAAAACACAGCAACATGAATACAACTTCATTTTTCCCTTCAGAGTGAGATGGTATATTGTCATCATCTCTCTTCAGCCGCATATTGAGATTGTACATTTGCCATGAAGGCAAAGGGAGAGCAGTTAGTAACAGCTTCTACTAACACACATAACTAACTGTGTCTTGTACAGTAGAATTCCTCCCTGATAGTAGCAGTAGATAGTATCCATGTTTTTTACATGTGGCCTTTTTGAGACAAAGTCTTAGACCTGTAAATTCCATTGAGATGTTTCTTTGTTGTAAAAGCGGATGTTGAATTTCACTCCATGTGTTGCTAGAAAATTAGCACATTAGAACATTAGAAGTCTAAGCCAAGACATGAAATCAGTCGAAAGCCCTAAAACTGTCCACAATGGCAGGGTTAGAGAGAAACTTCATCAATCAGCAAGCAAAGATGATACAAGGTGAGGTTAAATCACTATCAATACAACTTCTGTCACTATTATCTAAACGCTATTATAGACATAAAGTGTGTGTGGCAAGTACGAGAAGATGAAAAGATGATTAAATCTTATTATCTGAATTACCTCTCTTCCTTTCCAAACATATCGATGCATTTCAGACATCCATCCATGCCTATAACCTAAAGCTACAGACCTGCTGAGTGCTGCAAGAAGGTGATGACTGGAGGGGAACAGCTACATCCTGCGTGGATAGGGTTTCCCTGAAACTGAGCTGTTGTCAGCCACCGGCTGAGCAGCAAGCAAATCGGGCCCGACATGAATTACAATAAGGCCTTTTGTGGTGATCCGAACAGCCAACAGACGTGTATGTATGTTATAAAGATTTAAGTTGTTTTAGCATTTTTGTTAATGAAGGCTCTTTTTGAAAGTGGGTCCTTTTTGGGCAATATTAGCCCGAAAAGCCATTGAGGTCACCCATTGCAGTACAGTCCCCCTTTGTGCTCAAAGAGCTGCAGAAGCCTGAGGTCAATCATTTGTTAAAAAAAATCAATTGCACTGCCGTTCGTGACAAAGAGCAAATACTGTGATTATCAGAAAACAGTAAGCATCACAGCACGCTAATATGTTATTCATTATCATAAAAATAATACATGGTTCAAACAGAGATGGAAAAATCAATAGACTGTAAATGATTTTTCTGATGGACCAAAAAAAAAAAAGCTGTATAACTTTGTATTCTACCAAATTAAATAATTCATAATTTCACTAGGTCCGTTTCAAGATGCAAAACTGCAGGCTGCTTTTAGGATGACACTATCATCTCGCAAGTAATGGATTTGACCTCCGTGCCCACGTCCAAAGCATCATGCTGCAGTGAGCCATCAGCGCTCAGCAGAGAAGACACAGAAAGGAGCAGGAAACAGAGCACCAAGTTGAAACCACATCTGTCACGTATTCAGTGCGAAAAATTTATAAATTAATCAATTATTTACTAAATGAGTAACTAAACATGAGATAAACATAACACTTTGTTGGTTATATTATGGTTTAAATGAATACAATATTTAAAGGAAACCTCATGAAACCAAAAGGGGGAAAAGTCTACAGGCAATCCCTCCACTGCCATAAACACACTGTAGTGTCTATGAAGGCCATGATGGATGGCTGTGTGCGGGCAGTGTTGCCAGGTGTTGTGGTGCTAAACAGCAGGAGAGCTCTAACTGCCAAAAAAAAACATTCAACGAATTATGACTTTTACACAACTGACAGCACTTTGCCTCCAAATCTAGCTGACATCTGCGGAGGAAAGAGCGTGACATTTTGCCCAAAGGAAGGGGTGATAGTTTTGTTTTCTAAGATTAGATTATGAACAATATTGTATTGCATTTCTGATTACTAGAGTATTTTAAATAAATGTAATGATTAGTTCGTTTTAGAGACGTATTTTATGATGGCAGCTGGGTCTATTTTTTCCATTGTCATAGTGTCGTGATAGGACCCGATACGAGAGGCTTCTAAATGACTCTGATTATTAAATGAATGGATGTTGTTTACGTCACACTGTTCTCTCAACATGTTCCCTCACAGACTGAGAGGGAACATGCCGGGTATGTGCCTGATGTCGTTCTTGACGGACAAGAGGCAAACTGTCGTCACAATCAGATTTGGCCATAGACACATTTAATCAAATTAGTCTCAAGCTGTTACACCTCTTAGCTCCACTGTGGTTGTTTGATGTGAAGACAGAAGCAGGGAGAGGCATTCAAACCCCCCTCCTTCACATGCACACCGTCTCCCACCCCCGAGTGTCAGCGCAGGCTCTTACAAAAATGCCATTTATGTGCTGAAGTGATATGACTGCAGGGCATGAGAGATGAGTCGCACTGATCCTCTGCCTCACTACTTTGCCTTTCAGTCAAACAATGCCGGATTGACAAACAGCGGGATGATTATTGATTATTGATAAACTACTAACACAAGGAGGAAAATCTATAAGTTACTAGGGTTTGTCGAGCAATGGCCAGAGCACTCCCGGCTGAAAACAGGAGGCTGACCTTCTGCCTTGAGCGCTCATGTTTGCCGAGGGGCATCAAATGTGCAGATGAAATGATCAAAGCAAACATGTCAAGCTGTTTGTGATTTACTTTAACTATCCGCCTTGAGCCATCTATTCCTTGTGTTAAGTAGATTAAAATGATGTTTTTCACTTTCACTGAGCGAATGTGTGCATCATTTCCTTTAATCCACCAAAATACATAAATATAAAATCTTTGGGTTAGTTTGCCATAACACTTTAGCCAACTGGAAGAAGAAGATGAATAGGATAAAGAAGAATACATTCCTAAGCCTATTCCCCAAAAGCATGAAGAAACAGTTTTGACTTCCCAGCAATCTCACCTCTCACCTCTGACCTCCACAAATCCTGGTTAGCACCCAACTCAGAGCCCTGCATGAACACCCCAAACCAGCACTACTGCTCACTGCAAACTGCCTGCTGTTCTCCAGCTGCAACGTCTTTAAATGCTGCTTCGTAATAATATCATTTTCTTCTGACTTGTGCCAGTTGATGCTATTACAACGAATAAAACAACACATGAGGTACAGCTGTTACATGTTGAACCACAATGTTAAACCAACTGCATGCTTGATGTAAAGTGACAGCACTGTCCAGAGTTCAAAACTTAAAGCTAAAGATATACAAGTATGAGTCTGTCCACATGCCTTATCTATTTCAGTATGTTTACCTGAAGAATGATGCATTTGCTTCACTTCAGCTTGCAACAGATGGGCCTGCTTATGCCAGAAGCTCAACAAAGTGAATGTCAGAGGACAGGTCAGGCCAAAACAAAGGTTCCCTTACAAATACCAGGAATTAGTTTAGCCCTCTGTCCTCTGGTTACTGTGGTCAGTTTCTCAGCCAGGGCACAGCACAGCATAGTCTATGCGCAAGTGAGCTTGCACACTAATAGAGCTGTCAAAGTGATGAAAATAGAATTTTCCACATCTCATATTAAAAAATATGCACTGTTCTCTTATTCAGGTGAGGAAACACACTCTGTGCCAAGTAGATAGTACTTTAATCTGCAGCGTTGCCATTGTCAAATGTCTGTTATAGTATGTTTTAAGATGGCTTTTATGTTGTTTTGTGATGTTTATTTAAAGCAACGGAGTGCAGCGCTGTGCCCAAGACAAATTTCCTCTTGGGGACAATAAAGTTTATTTATCTGTTTATCTCGCTATCTATCAAGGAAAAGTGATGTTTTGCTAAATCAAAATGCAGAAATTATTCTGGAATAAACAAAATACTTTTCCGTAAATGTTGTCATCGACAGTAAATGACAGGCTGTTACCTTCAATCTGGTTTTAACATTGTGGATGAAGCAGTTTGTGTTCAGTTATGTGAGGTTAAGCTAGTTCAGCTATGTGGATGGCTATGATGGTCCCCAACCATCCTCAACCCAATCCACCCCCCCAGGGTCCAATCTTTTAGGGGAGACAGTAAAATTGATCATCTTCTCCTGATCCTGCAAGCTGCATGCTACCGGACCACAATGGACCACAATCCTGTAAACTTGAATGCACCACATGGTTACACCAAAATAAGTTTTTAAGGACATTTACTCATCCCGCAACTCCTACTGAGAAACGCCATTTTTCAATTGAGTGATGAGTCCCTTACAATGTTCAGTGACCCCACTGAACATAAGTAAAAGGCTCTTGGCAAAAAAAGAGAGCTGATAAGCAAGAAGCAGAAGAATGCAAAGCTGAAAAAGCCCACAAATCAATCACTAGGTGGCTGGCAGATGTACTGCTGCTAAACACAGGCTGCAGGACAGTCAAGTGACCACTGGCCTGGCTAAACAAAGAACTATTCCCATGAGCAGCCTGACCTCTGAAAGCACCGTGCGAGCGGTGGGGGAGCGGTGTTGGAAGGAGCATTCCTCCCCTCCTCCAACCCCTTATCTCTGCTACAAAGTTTTCCAATCATTCAACAGCAACCTCCACTCACCACAGACAGTGGCTTCATTGTCTTTAATCTCCATATAACAACATAGATCTGTAAATAGCTACATTTTGTTTTTAACGACAGCTTTATATGGAAAAATACGGCAGATAACAAAATAAAAGTTGTGTTCTATAATACGACGGATCAGTGAGTCGACCCACCGACGACTATTACAGCAACTGATAAAACTAGATGAGCGTCTCGAGTTGTTGGAGTAAAGATTTAAGTCGTGTGTTCTGTCTCGCTGCCCTCCATCTATTGAACAATTTAAAGACACCTCTGACCTCTGGGCCTGCCGTTCAGGGGAACCATGGAAACCTTTCGTGTCCAGCAGAGGAGAAAAACAAGATTCCAGGCTTTGAGTTGTCTCCCATCAGGCCACTTCATTCATTCCCCTCACAGCTCACACTGGGCAAGGTTTGCTTTCGTCTTATTGGGGTTTCTAATTGTGCACAGCGAGTGCTAGTCAGACCCATTCCTTAGCAACTTAAAATAATGCTGTGGTCCTGGCCTAACGCCTATGGACACACTATTACGGTAAAATAAACTTTGTACATGAACAGCAGCAGCTCCTTCAAATAACTCCGTTGAAGCTCATTCTGATCTCAGCTTTAAACACAAATAAAACAAGAATAATATGCAGTATAAGATATTTAACTTCTGTATCTGTGAAAGTGACCTTACTAGCTAGAAACAACCACACAGAAACTGTAATCTAGGATGCCATGACAATGCACTGGCACGTATTCTGCGGGAGATAAAAAGTTGGATCGGTAAATCCCTTAAACAGATTGCTTTGCATGACAGTTGCAAATTAAGTGGTGACCACAAAACAAGCACTTTGCTAAATTACTTTTCATTCATCAAGCAGCAACAACATACACCTTAACGAAGCACCGTTTGTGGGTAATGTCAAGTTAAAATATATAATAAAGTAATCATAAATAAATGCACTCCATCAGTGTGAATGCGACACATAATGTTATATAACACAGCTGAGCTGTTAATAGATTTAACCTGCAGCACAGGCCCTCTCCTCTCTACATGATTGACTAGACGCCCTAAATTTCAACTGTTCCTAGAACTGGTGATTTTGTCCCCAGCTTGTTCTGCATCAATAACGCCAGGGTCAGCACATCATTATCATTGCAGACTGGTCAATGGTTTTCTTAAACTATCATCATGTCTGAAACCATCCAGACTGTAAATGCATACGTAAAACTCGACATCTCTGGGCAAATTTCACCATCTGACAGTGACACCAACATGGGGGCCACAACTGAGCCAGATGAGATGAGGAATCTGATATTTTTCTCAGTTTTCATGCCTTATGTACCTGTGATCACATGGAACAAGAGGCCAAAAAGGAAGCTAACTCAGGAGACAATCTCTCCACTGAAATCCCCATCAATCTGAAGTCTATTGACAAAAGTCACATGGTGAGGATCATGTGTCACATTCCTTTTCATCGTGGCCAAATCCCTTCTCAGCTTAGTGCTTTAGCAAACCAATGTTTAAGGTTACCCTCCATCACCATCACATTCCTCAAAGAACAACTCGCAGGTCCAAAGCTTCAGTACATGAGCATGGGATTGAAAAATTCACCAAGGGTACCACTCCTGCAGACAGAAAACATCTTCTAAAGGACTAAGCTATTAGAAAGGAAATGGTAGCATGAGTCTGATACAGAGGGATATCTAATTGGCTCTGGAAAGGAGGTACTGAGGCTCCCCAGTTGTTACACTATGCATCTCTCAGATGCAGAATTAACAGTTAACACAGATCAAAATAAAATGATATTGCCAAAACGAGAACAAAAACAGACAGGTAATAGAACAGAGCCATGCTGTTTAATGAGGATTGCCACCCTGACTTTTCAAACTGAGAATCAATCTCTGATGTTTAACTTTTACGATTAATGTAATTAGCCTTTTAGTGGGGAACAGATCCAGCTGTTCTGTCCACTGATATCAGGACAAAGAATTGCCCCTAAAGAAACCCTTTTCTTTTGCGAGCATGCGGGACAATGTGGACAAAACGGCAGAGTGAAAAGCTTTTCACCCTTTCGCCAGAGAAGTGAGGCTGAAAACAATTGTGTGCAAAGCCTCCAGCCCCTGCTGACCTGGTAAGACCTGCAATAAAGTTTGGTCATTTAGACACTTGGGGTAAAGCAGTGTTACTGGGAAACAGCAATTCACATTTGTGTGTATGTGTGTGTGTGTGTGTGTGTATGTGTGTGGGCACACCTCTCGCTGCAACCCCCACTGATACCTCTGTGTCCTTCAACTGAGCATTTCTCAGGTATGTGCAAATTTTATGAGCTTCCAGATAGACCCTCAAGCAGGTCTAAGTGCTGTTTTAAACTAACTAGTAAAGCTTACTGGCAGCCTTTATCACCTCTTAACTTCAAACTATGAAGCAGGTATACCACTCAAATAATTAATGAACTATATATACTATGCAAGTACCAGACAATATCTGACTTAAGACGGCACTCTACCAGAGAGCACTGCATGTAGTTAAGTACAACTTCAGAATAATTCATGGCTCAAGAAACTTAAAGAACTGTTATGTAACTAAAGCTAATTGCACTCCATTAAACCAAAGTTTATTACCAATTATTCCAAAAGTGCTGGCAATGTTATCAGCTCCTATAAAGCTATGTTGGTCTTAGATTATTATTATTTTTTACATGACAGCAGACTTTTTATTCTTTATTATCTCTTAAAAGAAAATCATCAGAAGTCATTTTCAGCAACTTGGATCACATTGAGAAGCAATTGAACATGGAAACGAGGATTACAATGCAACCCCAGGACAAGACATGCATTATTAAATTCAATGTAAAATAAAATGTCAGCAATGTCAAAAATGTTGTCGTACAAGTGAACGTATTGCTGGCAGGGTAAAGGGGTTAACATACATTCTGCAAAAGTGGCACAGCAAGATGCATGGCCTGTGGTGTGGGAGGAGATTCAGGCCTGCCTGAAGCTTCTCTTCTCCCCCCTTAAAATACGAAGCCAACTCGCACAGCACCGGAGGAGAAAGCATTCTAACAGGACAATTCTTCAAGCGATCAGGGTGCAATAACATGAAAGCCCCAGCCAGTGAATAGGGGTCATCTGCTCTTTAGCATTGGAGAGCCGGCCTCCTGGACAGCTCTTAACCTTTCCAATCTGCTGCCCCTTCATTAACACACCAATGGGAGAATATTCCTCTCCCAAACAGCACCTTTTTTGGGCTCTAACTTTGAAGACTTTGTCCGTCTTCCCTCACTGCTACCACCATAGCTGCCTCAAATGCAATGCTGAGCAGCAAAATACAGCAAGGTGTAAAATACCATGCAGGGAGATTTGATTCTGACCTAATGAGTATTGCAAAATAAATGGTAGCAAAGACCTACAATACAAGACTTTAGACTCTGCCTGAACATGGTTAGAGTTTGCCATAACCTAAATCCCATCTCATGTCCTCAACACTTCCAGCATGATACTTACTTGCGATTGTGAGACGGGCTTTCTGGCTCAGGATTGCACCATACTTGTTCTGAGCAAGGCACTGATAGAGCCCTTCGTCTGATTTGTCTCCTCTTCTGCTCTCCACCTCTGAAATATAAAGGGAGCCATTGGAGAGATGGTACACCCGTTCGTTCTCCACCACTTTTACTCCATTCTTGAGCCATCTGACGTCGATGGGTGACTCTCCATGTGCCTGACAGTCCAAAATAACAGCTTCTCTCCGCATGACAGTGACATCATGGGGCTCCTTGATGAAAAATAACTCGCTAAAGCATAAAACACCTGTAGAAAGAGAGAAGAAAAGCATGTGAGTGAAGGGGCCAGCACTAGAGGAGTCTAGTAAAACTACTGGCTTAAAGTGATTTAAAAGGTGAGCTTTCAGTCAATAATTACACTTATTGGAGGCTGTGGCTCAGTATCCTCTGGATGGGTGTTTATAGTCTCAGGTGGATACAAGTGTGACACTAATCAAAACACCCTTGTAAGGTGAAATATTACATTTGTGAGGGTTAGAGAGCTACTGTCCCGCGCTGTAATCACATTGCAGCTTTCGTTACCACTTCAATCCAATTACTTACAGCTCATAAAGTCACCAGCTGAAGGTGAAACTGTTGATCTGATTAGTCCCTTTACTTTACACAGAAACCTATTACTGAACTCTCAGGGTGAGCTTTATGTAATGTTTCATGTCTCCAACACCAGCTCTGTGTTTGATATGTGTTCTGATTCTGTATCAGCAAATTGTTCTCTGTTGGACTGCTGATCTCTCATTTCACCTCTGTAATTGGATGATGGTGGTAAGAAGATCATGGAGTCAAACTGTAACTAAATACTTAACAATATAGATACTGTCAGTGTACTCTTGCAAAGCCAAACTACCAATTTAAAGCATCAATATGATGTCCACAGCATTAGTATGCCTCATCAGTAACATGATCTCTTTATATTCAGCTGTAGCTGTAGAACCGTTTTCAATTGTTAGATATATAAGTTAACAAACCTTCCAACAGTTAAACGGTTAAATTGAGTAACGCCACTGGTGAAAAACATTTGAACAGTTAACTATTTAATATAACCTTAACGTTATATCAGATATAAATACAGCTGGCATTCGAAGAATGATGGTTTCTCGGATAACTGTCCTGTAAATAAGTAACTTAACGTTAACGTTAATTTATTAGGAAATGAAAATGTCAAAACCAGTTAATCAAGTTATCATGATGACATTATTATTCGGACAGTCAGAGTGATGCTCCTAATTGTGAGTGTTTGAACTTTAACTTAACTCTCGAGCAAAATACAGCCTGTGAAAACGTTCCTTACCTGAGATTGGAAGAAAAGCGACAAAGAACAGTAACCGCTGATATAATTTCCTTTTGACAGGCGCCATTTGACTACATTAATTGTCTGTGCATGCTACTCTCTCATCGTTGTTTCCTCCACATGAACTGCGCTACTACTGAGGAGGGCCGGCGCTGGTGAGAGCTGCAGGAGTTTAGTTTCCCTCCTCTGGGACGGACACTCGTCAAATATTCACGGCAGTGGGTCTGAATGAAGCGTTTAGTCCGGCGCCATCTAGCGTTAGATTAACTCAATGCATTCTGTACTGAACCTGATCCAACACCTTTGTTCACTATGTTGATGTATAAATAATAGGCTGTAGTAACGCTGAAGGTACTCCAACACTAGGTCTGTCTCACATGCTGTCAGTATAGTTGTCATACATTGGCAACATATGCTCTTTACTGCAATGTACAAGAATGGCAACCTCACGCATCACGCTGAGGGTCACCCATCCACTAAATGAGTAACAGAAGTTTAGGCACCTGGAAGAGAGCTGCTGCATGTCCTGATGTCTCTGGCTCAGGTGCCATCTGATGAAATAAAGTACAATGTGTACTTTACAGGGGTGGAAAGCCCATTACAAGTACTTTCACTGATGTAGCAAAATGGTATTCTTGTGTATGTTAATATAACGTTTTATGGACATATTAAATTAGTAATCCTTTGAAGAAGTTGATTTTTGATTATGTACTGTGTTTTATTCATTGCACTGATTGGAGCCTCCTTTCATTCACACAATAATAGGAAAGAAACACAATAACACTGCATGTTTTGTATCAACAACTTTAAAATCAGATCACTGTTTTTAGTACAGTGCGGGTCTGACACCAAAATGATAAATGCTTTGTACATTTCGTAACAATGGGAGTTCAGCATTCGTACACCGATATTGTTGTCTCACTTGTTCCACCAAGAGCTTTTCACTCTTCCTTATCAATACAAGTGAAGCTGTATTGATGAGACTAACTGAACACCAAATGGTCTCTACAGACGGAAAAAAAATTGTTAGAAATGAATTTGTCCTTTAAAACTGTGTCCTGAAACCAAGAAGAAGCATTGATAGGAGCAGGACAGCTGCTGTGTCAGTGTCGATATTGATCCAGTATCCATCACTTATTGTGACAAGAGATCAAACCTCCCTCCCACGGTCCTCCCCCTCCCTCTGTGAACCTTTTTCAGCCCAGCTGGGATGTCCAGTCAATCAGAAAACAAAACACACTCAAGAAAAACGGCACTCTTCAATAAAGAGTTATGAAGACATACTTGTGATAAATTTACTGTGTCATTGTTGCAAAGGTTTTTATCAATATATGTTGATAGTATTTTAAAAATACCATATATGCACTTAAAAAATACATTTAAAAATATGGAGGATCATATGTTCAAAGGTTCAAACTGCCTCAATTAACTGAATTTTAGCCATTTGTGTTTGTTCCCCCAAAACAAATGAATTAAAAAGGCCATAAAAAAGAAAGAAATGATTGTCATCATCAAGATTTCTTCACGTTTTCCTAAATTTGAAATAATCCCACATTCGTTCCAAGAATGGCCTCAAAATATATTCCAATTAATCAAAACAATCCAACCTCTTTCAACTTTTGTTGTTAAAATTAAATTTTGATATCTAATATGCATTTATACACACTATACAACCGATAAGCTTGTAATGTTTCCTTGTAAAGTGTACCGTGATTACAGTTATATGTTTAAGTGTATAACTATATTATACAACCAAATGATAGTACACAGCCTTATTGCAGATGGCCGGCACTTCTCTTACATAACGTGGGAAAGTGAGAGCATGGCCTCATTCATGGTCAGTGTGGCTCTCCCTAGGGTGTTTAATTAATCAAAAATTCAGTTTCGGCACCTGCCAATATAGCAGAGTTTGTGGGTGGAGTGATGGTCAGCCTGATGTGTACTCGGGTCAAGCTCTGCGGCCGGATCAATGTAGTAAAAGTAATCATCAGGTTATGAATGCTGGTAAGGCTGTGGGTGAAGGGGATCCAGCTTTCTAAGGACCTGCTGCCATTGGTTGAGGTCTGTGTCTTCCTGCTGGCCCACATGTCCATCCCCACTGACCCCAGAAGTGTCCAAAAGGCCGGCCTGAATGGTGTGCGACCTTTCCACTGACCCAGTGGATGGGAGGGGGCTTTGAGTGCCACAACAGGGGGGTTGTGGAGAACATAGGAGCTGAGTCACACAAAAGGCTCCGACCACAGAGACGTTGATGAGTCCTGTCCACAGAGCCGGTCAACAGCTAACACTACTTATGAATCAGTGCTCCATACTGTAGGTCAACAAGCACACAGGAGAGATCACAGATCCATATTTGACTGCAGCTAAATTAGCTTGAGATAAACAGGCAGACTGTCGTCCCAGCTCTGTTGAGCACTGAAATGTAGTTTAACATAAATCCCAAAATGTGAGAAACATTTAGACATAAAAAAGCAGAATTGATAGAGAAGAGTCAATGTTTGCCTACTAATATGATGTGAAACATTCTGTTCGTCAGCTGTAAGTTTAAAAGTTGGGTGATGCCATTCACAAAGAATACAATGTGTTCTAGTTCCCCCAGCTGGAACAATTCAGTACTACAAACACGTACTTTACGTACTTTACATCTGTTCAAACTACAATAATCTGGTTAGATTACGTGTGCCACCCAAAAGATAAAACATCACATCTAATGACTGAATAAAAGAACTTACAGGATACTGTGAAAGATATCAGTGTCAGTTCTCAAAAATAAAACCTTAAATGCTTTTCGTTACATCAAATCCTAAAAAAGCAGTTAAAATGGTGAAGAATTGGTGAGACAAAAACCAAAATGGGCGTTTTTGATTTGACAAAAGCTCCAAGATGTGTCCTCACGACTCTTCATACAATCATCAAGAATACACATGCTGACAGTGCATCGTGTCATAAGCCCTCACCTGCTGTTATGCAGCGTTGAAACACAAAACCAGACACAAAATCAACAACATATTTTTGGCAGTTTGTTTGCTGCTCTATATCTGTTCCTTAGTGTCATTTACACCAGGTCATAGATGTTCATACACCTACTGTAATATAGACTTTAGATTAAAAATGTTTACGTAAGACATCCAACTTCAATACTGCAAAGTTGGAGTGCTATTGTCCCTCCACTGATTTCCCCACACAACACTCAGACACTCCTAAGTCACAGCTGCTTCACCTCCTCTCTCTGCAGGTTACCAGCCTGGTGTTTCTTTTTACATGTGACTTCACACTGATTACAGAGTCACATGTCTTGTACCTGGACATAGTCTCACTCTTATTATTAGACAACACAACAGAAAGATTGTGAGACAACTCTAAGCTGACTTCTTGTGCTGGTGTTAAATGCTCTGCAAATCATGTTTTCCATGTGATAGTTGTGTAAATATACAGAAAACTGGTTAACACTATAACCAACCTTTTTAAGGGGTATATTAACATGTATAACACACTTAAACGTGTTTAATAATGTACAGTTTTAGACAGCGATTATAACTTATAGTTATATTACTGGTGTTTATTGTAGCTTCCTCTTATAGGTACCCACAGGAGGAGTTACAGCTGTTGACAAGTACGTGACTAGATCTGCTTAAAACTACATTATAGTGTTATAAACCATGAATTCAGTTTTTGTATACTACATAGTTAAAGTGTTACTAAGAACTGTGTAAAATCATTAAAAGTTAAGTGAATGCATTTTAGGTTGAGCTCACTACATCACTACCTTTGCAGTCTTAGAATAGTTGTATGACGTGCTTCAAATCAGCCGTGAAAAACTGCAATAAGAAATAAAACTCAGTGAGAAAGAGACATGAAGACACTGGATAATTGCTTTTTACAATTCTTTATTTTTCAAATATATTTATTTTGAATTTGGTGTGCTATGTCATCAAATGGGTATTTAACAGCTACAGTTCATTCAACCCTTCTAACTGTTGTATATATGTATGTTGTTGTAATGCACTTATAGGCGTTTTAATTAATTTCTATATTAAGAAAATCTGATACATCAGAACTTAAGTGTTGATATATTCATTATTCTTCAGTAGACGATAGTACTTCCATTTAGAGATTAAAACATTAACAATCAAATTCTACAATACATTACAAACGAAGGCCTCTGTATTTAACTTTAAATATAAGTGAAAGAAGAGAATGTGCTTATTTTCAGCGATGTTCACATGTAAACATTTAAACACGTGCACTTGAAGCATTGGATAATTTTCTTAAAGAGCGATTCAAGCAGTCTGCAGGTGACTGATTGGCAAAGATTCAGACAGTTCAGAAGTAAGACTCATCGATATCAACAAAGTGCGTGACTGTATAAAAGCATAAAGTAGAAAATTGTGTTGTCAGAGACAAGAACCAGCCCACGATAGCTTCTTTTATCAATGACCTGTAAACATGGCAGGTGGTGTAAACACATTTTGCCATTCAGAAAATGTTAAAACTACTGCTGACGAACAGTTACTTTCCTACAAAGGTATTAACAAGTGATTACTCATTTTTAAAACAGACAATAATCTGTACACATTTTGACAACCAACAAAAAAATTATTAAAGTTGTACTCTTAAAAATAGAGCACCGTGCTGCAATTAGACGACCATGATGAGTAGAGGAAAACAAAACGATATCACTCATTGACAAAAGGCAACAAAACTTAATTTCTAACATACTGTATACAAAGTGTGTGATAAGCCAAGTCTGTCAGATATTATGTGTAAATACATTTGTTTGTTTCTCTGATACACAAACAGTGAGTGTGAGTATGATTAATGTAGAGGTGCACCAATACCCGTTATTTGCCAATTTCACAATTTTTTATGTAATAACGGAAGAACAAAAAAAAAAAAATCAGGTGATATTCAATGATCTCATGTCAATATGTACAATTATGCAATTATGATTGAGCACAATCTAACACTGCATGTAGTCAGTTACACACTACAGAATGATTAATTTAGCCTTTTACTGGTCCCGGTATTGGTACATCACTACTATACTAATATTTAAATAATACACTTTCCTTCAGTGTAGTCGCTCAAACTTTTTATTCAACTTGCACATTTTCTGCTACCAATGCTTTTGAGGTGCATATGTTTGGGATTAGTGTGATGGAATGACATGTTTTTTAAATTATGTATAGAATTAAATGATAGGAAAAGATGCGTTTCATATTGGTTGAATTGCCAATTGATCATTCACACGTCGTTTCCTACAACAACAACAAGTTAATGGATTTAGTTAAAGAGCAACAAAACCTAAATTATTTCCAACCAAATACAACAAAGACAAAATCTCACAAGTACCTGATGTGAGAATCAGAGCATAAAGTTTTCTGAGGCAATTCAGCCAAAATTAAACAATTATTTTTAAGGTTAGATGATGTTGTTATACAGTATACAGCTTTGCATTTTTGCTTTGTAAACTTTAGAAGATGTAGAGTGATTAAATAACTCCGTCCCTCCAGATTTGATGTCCTTTCTTCACATGTGGCTCAACAGAGGACCAACGTGAAGGTCGTGTGACTGTCCTTCATCTGTCACACAGCTGGCAGGTTAAAACATGAATCTCTTGCACAGCTTGTTTTCCTCATCGTTACATTTCTTCACCACGTCATGCAGTAATGTCAGCACAAGCTCTAGTCCACCCCATCAAAGCCTTGTGCATTCTCAATGGCGATGTGAAGTTTCTCCCTCAGCTCCTCAAAGGACTCATAAGGAGGCAGGTCCAGTCGGTTGAAGCTTAACAAGGTGAAAGCAAAGACAAAGAGGGAAACATCATATTCAAGCAAAGTCATAATGCAGGAATCAGCTGCTATGTGTTCATTCATAATTCTCAAGAGACAGTCCAGTGATTTAGTGCTGCACCTCCATAAAAATGAGGGACTTTCCTGAGACGTGGTGCAAATGTGGTGCAACAGTGGCAGAAACACTCCAGTCCCTGGAAGCTACAAAACCCCCTAGATCCTTAACTTCCTGGAACGCAACTCAACTGCTACTATTGCATTCTCTGTGACCGACTAGAAAATTAACTTTGTCATTTAGAAATCAGTGGAGTTCTGCCTTAATAGTGAGGCGTCTCTCTGAGCATAATGACTGTATTCAGTTCTCAGACAGCAGAGTGAGAGCTATGACTGTATCCAGCCACTAGAGGGCTTCAACCCACTATATGCTCTTATTTTAAGAAACGGAATGAGCACAACTCTGGTTAACATAAACGTCTTTGGGATTCTTTGTGGAGAAACTCAGTTTTACAGATCTGTCCGTTAAATCAACTAATCGATTAGTCGACAAAATCGCATGGGTGTTAGTTGACTAAGACCCTAGATGCCATATTATGGAATCACATTCTTGTGGCGCCCATGAAGACCCAAAATATATCTTTTTTTAATCTTGCATGCCCGTATTATTACCAAGAGTGGAGGTGAAAACGGTCATCTTTAGAGTCATTGTGGGCTCTGAACAGCCAACACACATTACAGTCACATGATAATATCTGTGAACGTTACTCTGAGCAAGGAGAGCACAAAACAATATAAGCAATTCGGTTTTTGTTTTTTGTCAAAATCTGCTTCAGCCTTTTTAAATGTATGGAAAATATGAACTGAAAAATCTGAGTGAAGTGCTCACCATGTGTGGGCTCGGGGGAGTTTCTCACGTGTTCCCCACTGCTCGATGGTGAACAGCTGTGGTCCGTTAGACCCTGCAAACAAACCCATCAAACATTAGACAAACACATACAACCTGATTTAAACTGGAATTCATTCACAATAAAACTAAAGTCCCAGCCACCTGTGAACTGAAGTGAGGTGTTATATATACAGTACAGAGGGAAAAGATATGATGAGGCAGTCATTTCGTATCATAAGACACTACACCAGTGAATTATTAAACAATAATGCAGCAATAAAAAGTGTTATCTCACCATAGAGTTCAGCAAAGCCATTCATTGGGACCCTTGAAGTTCCTGTCACAAACTGTAAGAGCCTGATTCTCTTTTCTGCATCCATCAACAGCACCGTCTGAACAACACAAACAGATATACAAATAAACAACAAATACAAAGCGCTTCTTAAAAGGAGAATAAACTCTGAAAGGTCCACAGCTCAGCTTGATGGCTCCAGGCATGGAAAGTTGTCTTACTTTCCAAAACCACTGGATAACAGTGTGGTTGGAAGAGTAGCTGTTCTTGTACTTGGTGTTCTCTCTCCAGTCATTCACATCCACATCTCCCAGACCACACATGAGCAGCTGTGGAGGAGAAGACGGCAGGTGGACACATCATTATTAACCTGTCTGGAATTAATCTACAATTAACCTGAAAGGGGATTTCAGTACATCAGACGGACTGAAAACTCACCTCGAGCTCATTCTCATCGAAAATCTTGATCACATCTTGTGGTATCAACTCAAAGAATCCCTAAAACACAAAAATATGACTTTTCTTCTTACTTTATACTGTTCAATGGTGTCTACCATGTTACAAAAAAAATGCATCAGATAAGTTGTTACCTCTTTGAAGGCAGTCATCTGCTTCTGTATCCTGTTCACAAACCTCCACTGCATCACCAGACTGTCAAACACAACACAGCCGATTAGGGTCAAACCATCATTTCAGCACTTTGAAGATGGTGAGAAGCTTTCTTCTTCTTTCTTACTGGATGTATTCCTTCTTGGTGTCATTAGTGATGACGATCTCTGAGCCTCCCGGCTTCAGTTCATGCTGGTGAGTCTGAACACAAGAATGAAATATATAATGCAAATTACACGGTTAACCACTTAACACAAATTAAAAGTTGTTGAGGGAAAGACGGCATGTTTGAACACACCTGTCCAAACAGCTCCTCGTCAATGGTGAACCTCAAATCCAAGTCTGTCGGGTCGTTCTCCAAAATCCACTTCAAGGAGTTGAAATATTCACTGTCCTGAAAAGACAGCACACAAAATAAATATCTTCCACATTACTTGATTCACCTGATTATTTGCAGTGGAAACATGTGACACTCACAACAGACTCCATGTCCTGGAGCGTGATCGGCTTCTGCAGCATCATCTTGTAGAAAGGCCGAATGAAGAAAGCTTTAAAAGGACACAAATAAAAATGTCAGGATCTATAAAAAAAAAAAAAAAAAAAAAAAAAATCACCATTTGCTCTGATCCCTCTGATCTCCCCTACGCCCGATGACATCATTTAGCACTCACCATCGAGCAGTTTGCCATGATACACGGCCATGCCCGCCACGCGACCGATGAACTTGAAGTAGGACAGGTGGTCCTCATTACATAAACCTGAGTTGGGGTTAATCTGCAGAGTGTAGTTGTCTCTGGAAGACAAATCACAAAATATGAACAGGAATAACAGAATATTTTCCTAAACAGAATATTTTCCTAAATCAGCTGTCCGGGTTTCTGCCAGATAATTACAGCTTGTTGATGTGTATTCTTAAATTGCTGCTATTATAAGAAATAGAATCCTGTGATTGTATGGGGATTTTGACGTGACGCTTGACATTTATATTTTCATTGATGCTCATTACAAGTTATGTAAATACCACTAACTGCTCATTTTCCATTCCACAATTACAGTTTTCCAGATCACATATTGTAGGACAGTGAAGGAAGATGCGCCATATTAATGTTAATGTGGCCTTGACACTGTGTAAACAGAAATGTATCCTTCCAAAAGTCACATACAAAGTATGTGTGTGCACAATATGAGCAGATATATTATGTGTGTCTCTAGGATGGTATTTTCTCATATTTCCCTGGACTTTCCAGACCTGGAGGCAGAACATCTGTCCTGAATGTCTTTTATTTACTGTTCCTTCCTATAAAATGGAGCACCAGCAAATTCTAAATTTGAATGGCTGTGCTGCAACACAAGACTGTCTTGTCTAAACACAAGTTAATGATGTATAAGACCATTAGAGGAGGCATAAACAGAGGCAGTGTTTGGACTCACGTGGCAGAATACTCAAACAGTCCATAGTACGGGTTGAACATCTCCTTGGACATGAGGAAGAACCACTCCCTGGCCACACCACCATAGTCCAGTCCCTTTTCTCCTTCAAACTCCACCCACAGTCGTGCCTTCAGCAGGTCTGCCCTCTTCACCGACAGGATGCGTCGGTACGAGTCCTCCAGCACCGCATTTCGTTTCAGCTTCAGCTCAAAGCGGTTTGGGATGTCAGCCTACGCGGAAATGTATTGCATCGTTAAGAAGAGAGTTTATGATCATCTACAGGTTGAATAAATGCAGCATATGTGAAAGTGACAAACTGATATCAGAGGTTAAAGCAACACCAGTCCTTATTAGAATCAAGTATTTGGTAGAAGTAGTTGTAAAGAATCAATCAACAGTTGCTCTTTGAGGACACTCACCGGTTTCTTCAGCTTCTTCCGGAAGTAGTCATACTTCTGTTTATAATCTCTGGAATAAGGCACAGCCTAGAACCAACAAAGGACAGCCTTTAGGGAAAAATACACCTTAACCGTATGACTTACACTGTAGTCAAGGACACATATTTACAGGAAAGCTGCAAACTATAAATAAAGAACTATTTTTGTTGTGTGCTAATATCATATTACTGAAGAATAATTTGTCAAACATAATCTATACTCACTGGTCCGGTTATAGCTGAGTTCTGCAGCCTGGGATCATCCCATTGTGTGATCTTAGTGTCTGCGAAATATAATACATCAGAGGCCATTCATTAACATGGAAACCTACACATCGCTTAGTCCATCATGTAATCTTAGTATTAAACGTCATACGCACTGTGATCTATGTAGAATATCCTCCCATCAGTGTGGACCCTCTCTTCCCAGCCGGGCTAGGAAGAAAGAAAATGTACATTTTAAATATGTTGGCTTTAGACTACCAAATAAAATAGACAGTACTGTCTGCTCTGGTTATATACCTACAACATAGAGCAATTAATGTCTCATGTAGGATTTTTTCCTGAGATCTAAACCTTAAAGTTGATAAATGTCTTTCAATTGATTTGTTACCGATATTCTATAACTGCTGAATTTACCGGCAGAGGGCCGAGATCAGATGGGTCGAGTGAGGGTCTCTTCCTCATGTGCACAGGAATCTTGGGCTGCCTGGGATCTTCCTGTTCAGAGGAAAACAGACGGGGTGTATTTCAGTCAAAGAGGAAACACTTACACAGGAAACAGCGTTGGGTATAGTGCAGACTACGTTTTAAAAAAGCTAACTTTGTATTGGAAATAAAAAGGTAAAAGCACATCTTTCTCACCCAAGTAGTAGTCTTAGTGTTGTGGTTAATGAAAAAGGGTCTTCCACTGGGAGCACTGCGAACCTCCCAACCAGCCGGCAGGGAGCCAGATTCAGGTGTGGCCTCGGGGCTTGGGGTGTGCTGAGAGTTAGAGTCCTCGGGGGACATGGGTGGTAAGGGTGGAGTCCGGCTCTGGGGTACACCTGCACCACCCTGTGCTGCTGCTACTGCTGATGCTGCTGCTGCTGCTGGTGCTGGTGCTGGTGGTGTCTCTGTGGTTTTCTGTCCAACAACAAATATATCGAGAGGTATTGAGAAATTTGGTTTAGAAAATTGCCAGTCGAGCGTCAGTTTACATACTTTTGCCCTCTATCAGTATCAATAATAATGAAATGAATCACTTTGTACCTGAACGACGGGTCGTGTCCATGAAGTGCTTCGACTGTTGTGGTTGATAAAGTAGCGTCTTCCTTTACAGTCTCGCTTCTCCTCCCATCCAGGAGGCAGCCCAGCTGAGGTTGGAATATGCTATTGAATGACATAAAAAATGAAAACACTGATCAATGCGGAAAACCTCAAGCTCATTGAGAAACCCAATACCAACAATGAAACACATACATTCACTAAAACTATTTCCTAACTTCCACACCACAGGAACTAGTAGATTAAAGAAAACAGCTGTGAATCTTGAACGCTGCCATCTGTCCACACAAACAGCAACATTCTGATGTAAGACAGGTTTAGTAAGACGTAGGAAGGAGTGATTTCATAACGGAGTGAGATACCCACCACAGGGTTAACAGGATGTTCCTCTCCCGTTGAAGTCGGGGCACTTCCTCTGCGACTGGAATGACTTGAATTACTAGCCTGATTCTGCAGGACAGAGGAAGCATGCCAAAGACAACAATGATCACTTGGCCATTAATGTGTTATTAATTTAACTCCTCTCCCTCTCTCACTGAAAGCGTGTGGTTCCCATCCATCTCTTTGTGAGTCTTTATTCCTCTGACTTTCTGGTAAGTAGAACCGTATGGCGCACAGAAAGTGACTCACCATCTGGGAGGCGCGCAGCTCGCCAGATGTGGCCCCCGAAAAGTGAGTGATTCTCAGCTCGTCCTGGAGCGGCTGGAACTCTGCAGGCCCGTGTGGTGGAGGCGATGCGAGCTGGCTATTGCTGTGGTACAAGGTGGACTCGTCCTCCGTAATGATCTCCCAGCTCTAGAAGACGAGACAGATGAGATTCATCAAGAAGACTCGGTGGGGGATTGATCCGAGGTTAGATCAGACGACAACAGCTCTGCCAAATTACTCAGTTTAAATATACAGTGGTCTGTTGTATAGGAAACCTAAAAGTGAAATTGTTTAGAAAGTGTAATTCGTCAAGTGTTTAAGCCAAAGCCCTCAGAGGACACGTCAGAACTACACTGCTACAACCACCAGTGCAACACCTGGCGTCAACATGGCATCTGCATAGCTATCAGAACAGACTTCCCCCACTGTTCTCGTCCTTCCCTTATCCATTCACCTAAAAGGCTTTTTCTAAAAATGGTGTTAAAATTACCTCAGGAGACTCTCGTGTGTTGTTCTCATCTGGGTCTGAGATCTGTCTGCGTGTATTAAAAGCTTGCTCCGCATCCATATTATTGTTCTGTCCTCCTTGCACTTGCACATCACCTTCCCTGTTTAGGATGCGCACACAATAGGACACACACACACACTATTAGTACTGCACCAACAAAGAAAATGATGTAACTTTGCTGTGGAGAGGGGAGCAGTCTTACTGGATTGTGGGTCGTTGCCACTGTGTGGTTCTGCTCTCATGATTGACGAAGAAGGTTCTTCCCAGGTTGTCCTGCCGCTCCTCCCAGCCAGGGGGCAGAGCAGGCAGCAGCTGGCTTTGTCTGGGACCGGACATGTCCTGAGCCTCCAGAAACTCCCACCCAGGCTGCTCCACATGAACAGAAAGTGTTAACGGGCAGCACCAGCAGCAGGGAGACAATATCCTAATGCCAGCTGTTTAAGTGCACACACCAAAAAAAGACTTGCAAACTACAAGAAGATTCACTGGCTAGGATGAAGACTGGAGCTTTGAGTTAGATTAATCATCAGCATATTTCACAAAGGCCGTGGACACGCAGTGGGACAAATATGCACTCACAGACTTTATGTTAAGACAAGGCTTACATTAAGGAGAAGCTCTTAAGAACTCATATCACTGCGGCCATGCCAAAATCTACATCTATTTGAATTGATGCTCTAAAATGTTAACTTGAGGCTGCAGGTGATGCATTATGAACAGGTAAGAAGAATCACTGCGTAGGCAAACCAAACACAAGAGCATCTGTGATATTTTCGTAGATCGTGGGAGATATCTTCTTACTGTCAACAATCACGAGCAAAACTTACGTCTACGTCCTCCGTCTGTTCGGCCGTTTCCTCTTCTGAGCCGGGGTTTTTTGGCAGGTACGTCATTTTGAGACGCAGGTGACCTTTGACTCTGGACTTGTGGCTGCGTAACCAACAGATTAATTTGTTTTTTGAACAGCGAAGAAATAAATATAAGTATGAACTGTGGCCTATCATTTCTCCTGCAAATTAACATATGTGAAATGGAATGTAAAATAGGAGAAGACAAAGGATTAAATAGCCACGAAATCATGCCAACCTTCGTGGGTGAAGCAGAAAATCCTTGAATGTGTATGGCCTTTCTGTGTTAGGATTTTCTGTCTGAGAAAAAAACAAAACAATAAAAGGAAATCTTTAATTCTCAAAACATTTTTACAGACGCCTGGCCGTGTATCCGAACACAGCACTGTATATTTAAAGAAAATGATGGTGGTGGCAGTGTACCATGAGGGCTTATTTGCGAGTGTTGTATTTATAATGAAACAAAAGCAGGAACATAACATAACCATGACGGACTGTGTTTCCAAAACGATAGACATCGATGTGGAACAGACACTAGAAGAAGGGCATGCGTGTATATACTCCCATGGTGATATATGGTGACACTGAGCTCCAGATAAAAACTAAATAACTTGAACTTAGACAAGTCACAGATATCAATATACAAAAAACAAGAATTTCCTGCAACCGAGGACTCACCGGTATCTGATTTAAGGGGACGTCCACCTGTCCCAGAAAGTCATCACGTGTCTGACAAGAGGGGAGTGGGGGGGGAGAGAGAGAGAGGATCATGACAATATTATCTCCTTCCACATTCACATGTACAGAGGACGGGCCTAGACATACTCAAAAGACTGTGAGATGCTGTGTATCCGATAGTGATTATTTTTTGTGGTATTTTATCTCCATCAGACTTTTTCTTTGTCTGCTACATCTATTACCAGCCAGTTCCTCTAACAAACTCTCTTTAATCATTAGAATAAATGGGACACTGCACTCTTTCTACTTGAAACAATGCAGATCATCTGACTTTATCCATTTCCATATATATTAACTACGTAGCCTCGATAGGAATGTGTTTATCAGCCCACAATGAATGGCTTACTGTGTTATTGCCAGAGAGACTGGGACCGAAGTAATGTAGCATTTGTCAGATACACTTTTCTTTTCTCTGAACACTTCACACATTCACTGCATGCCTTTATTGCAGCCTTTACAGTCTCAAAGGCAAACACACACACACACACACACACACACACACACTGCGCTGCGGGAGCCAGCTTTGTGACCAAATTAACACCCGCGTCAGGTCAAACTGTAATGGCAGTATAGAGTGTTTACGTGAATAAATATAGATGGAGGCCTCCTCCGTCCTGCCCTTGCACGTCTAATAGTGGAGCCAAGAGAAGCAGCTAAGTCGAGGTTAAAAGATACTTGCTACATGAAACTAGCTTGATGAGCACAGTTTTCACTGATGGTCTTGGAATGATTTTTAATTTATACATTTATTTTACCCATTCTGGGTTTAATGAACACCTAAAGAGACACAATTCAACAAGTTAAGACACACAAGTCTTACTACAGATTCGAGTTATTCAATCTTATTCAATGGCAGCACTCACTGTAAGTCACTCTGCACAAAGATCGACAGCTAAAATGGAAATGTACAGAAGTACGGTTACAACAATTATTTTTATTGTTTATTAATGTGCAGACTCTCAGCTACACAATTAATCATTTGATGTCAGAAAATAGTTTTTGAGAAGAACTTTGCACAGTGTTTTCCCGACAGTGAGGTCTAAATACAGATGTTTATTAAAAAGGGAACAGCGGCATTAATGTTAGTTATATTTATTTACACACCACGGTCCACAGGACATTAAAAAACGTAAATTAAAAATTGTGTTTCTTTTGGCATGGTTTACAAACAGCCAGTGTAGTGGAGATGTGCGTGTACATAATACATAGTTCATTTAAAGCATCTACATGCACTGTTTTCCGTCCCTAAAATGAAAAGCCTCATGTCTACTGACTGAGAGATTGGACTGAATGTGAAGTTGAAGGACATTTGTAAACTTCAGTGTCCTGTCCCACTTTATAACTGTGGGTAATCTCTTATTATGGCAATGCTTCTCATCACTTATTTAAGTCAATAAATCAAGATAACATTTTAGTGTCACATTCACATCAGCTGTCGGCACTGATCCAATCTATCTTCATCTAAACTCCACTTTGATAATACTCTTGAAGCCCCGGGGCCCATGTAACAGTCACCCAGTACGTCTGTAGCTCTTAGACATCTTGGCAACATTTATCAATACGATCTGCCCTTCATAGCTTTTAACTGTCTGCTCAGGCGATGACAAAGTGAACCACATACAAACAATTACAGCCTAATAGGACAACTGATCCCTCCGTCAAATTAAAACCGAGGGTGCCATAAACAGAAATGCATAAACAATTGCAGGCTAATAGTGATGGCTGTCCCTGCTGGTTTGAAAAGTCAAGTAGGTCATTTCTATATCAGTAACAGAGATTTCTATCATGTGAAACGGTCTCTTTCCTTGTGAAGTTAGCGGATGCAGAGTGGAGTGAGGCCAAGCTTAACAAAGAGGAAGTGTTTGCTTTGGACACATGACAAGACTACCCGAGATTAAAAGATAAATGTTCACAAAGAGCATCCCTGAAGGTTCACGTGATACTAATTGAAACACAGCAGTGCTGACCATGTACTGTGTGAGGTTGTGGCAAACAGCTACAGACACACGTTTGGGCATCTGTGGAGCAAGCTCAGTTTATCCAGCTTAGCTTGGCTGCGACAAACTACTTTTAACAGGTGGACAGCAGCTTGTGAAACCTAAACTTCTGAGGAGTTACCCAGCTAATGGTATTGGAGCAGTGACGATGATAAACCATCCTGATCAGGAACTTATGTTCACATCTGAGAAGCAATTCCGTAAAATAAGTTTGAAACAAGTTATATGTTGGCAAAAACACTCATGAGACTGCCTGAGCTGCAGAGACAATATGCTTAATCATCTCGACAACGTTAAGTCGTCGCTGTGAAATGAGGAGGCCCTTGTTTTCCACACCTGAAACCATTTGCTGTCACAGCAGGAGGCCGTAACACAGAGTCTGATGGCCTGCACTGCTCATTTGTTAAGCTTATCGACAGCGTCTAACCAAAACATAGTATTTTAACCCTTGAAGGGGAAGAAAGAGGTCATATTCTTCTTGTCTGCTGCTATATTCCAGTTTTTAAAGTTAAAGTTCAAGAGTTAAGCTTGTTGTTGCTCGGGTATTTTCATTAATGCGTGAGTGACTTTTCTAAACCACATGTTATCACTTTGTGAAGGAATCTGAAAGACTTGCAACCTGCCACAACCACCACAACCACCACAACAAACACCACAAACACCACAACAAACACCACAACAAACACCACAAACACCACAACAAACACCACAAACACCATGGCAGCTGCACAAAAGTAGCCGAGACAAATCTAAACGGTCCATAATGACATGTAGCTCATCTTTGACTTGTTACCTGAGAAAATTAAATTTGTGTAATTTATTCTTTGTTATGAGTCACGTCTTTCCCCTTCCTTGGGTAACGTGGTCACTCCTGGTTGTTCATTAACTGGTAAAATGAGTATTACAGGGTTATGAGGGCACTTCAGATAAGAAAAGCAGCCCTGAACTTTCCATAAGAAATTCCAATGTGGGATTTTAAAAATCACATCCTGCTGCAACCGACCCATTCAACTATACATTTAAACAGATTCATCTCTGTTAGAAAAACATTATCTTGATCCCGTCACATTAGTCTCTGCCACTGCTGGGATTAACAAAGGGTTTCACATTTAGCATGTTGAGCCCATATAGTTCAGGGGATGGGAATATTTTGATTTGAAATAGCAGTTTATTTTCCTCTTTGATTGTTTGAGGTCCATATATTAAACATTGCTGTAAGACTGATTGTAGGCATGAGGTGACCAATTTTACTGCTGCAGTAAAAGGAAAGTGATTTGTAAGTACAAAGTTCATTTTGCTACATTTCCTCAGGAAAATCACCACATATATTTTAGTTTTTTGTTTTTTTTACGTGTGCTTCCTTGTTATTTGAATAATGACATACTTATTGAGTCTGAATCCCATTGTTGTTGCTCAGTTGTGGGCAGACACAGTCAGAAAGTAAACAAAGGTGTGTAGTATTGATGCAGACTTTTAACAGGGTGATGTGACTCGTCACACATCTATATTCACGAAGGACTATGAACATCAAAGCTCAAGTGAAATGAATACACTTGATGTTGGTATTTCACAGGCATTTTAAAGTGAGAAAGTAAAATCCAGATCTACAAAAGCAAATTTAGATCTTTAAAACTAAATGGACTGGCTAATTAGGTAAGGAGTACGCCATCTTATTTGACAACCTGCTAAATGCAGGAGGGGGGCTGACACCTGATACATCACAAACACTGCCTGGCAGGAGGAACCATAGGGAAGGGAACTCGCCAACCTTTTACTGGGAAAGGCTCACGCTCCCATCCTGCTTCATTACATTACCCCCAACACACACACACACACACACACACACACACACACATACACACATACACACACACAGATGGCTGGCATGACTGTGCGCTGCTCTAGTATCATGCTGTTAAATTTGAATCCACGGGTCTGGGCAGTGCTACAGACCACCAGACTATCTGGAGTCAAGGGGAATATTTTAGAAGCACTTTATTTATACCAGCTAGGGGCACTGCTTTTCCCACTACTAAAATTAGCCCGGGTAAATACTTAAAGTCAATTACTCATAGCGCTAACAGAATAGTAAAAATAGAGAGCTATTCTGAAGTTGAATGTCTTCATACACACCAACAAGCAGACAGACGGGAAACTTCCTTCTCATTCATGCTTTTCTTGAAAAAACAATAAGTAAATGGATTTCCTGTAATGTAACTGAAAACCTCTGAATGTTTGTCCACATTGGTCTTGTTGATTGCATGACTTCGCTGTAGTGATCTTCTCCGTTACTGCATGTCTCTCTAGCTTGTGGCGAGCCTAATGGCTGACACTGAGTAAACAGAGTTTTTAAGGGTTTGAATGGCGACAGCACTGAAGGAGAGCACCAATACCTCGGCATTTATATTATACTGAAAGTTATTTAAGTCATCTTTTAAAAGGTTTAACTTACCTTCAGCAACTATAAGCCAAAGATTTAGCATAAAATGAACATGCTATTCGTGACGTGAAGTATTCATGAGTCAAACTTTAATTTTACTTCGTACAAGACAATCAAAGTGGCATCACCCGAGCTGTCAAACCAAAACAGTGTGGAATCTACTAGAACCAGTCAAACACCATTAAAGGTGACTCCACAGTGTTACACCTTAGTGCCTCTATGTGTCCTGTCAATACTTAGAGAGCTCTTTGCCGTGCAATTCATTGTTAAAGCGACAGTTCTAATAACACAAAAATACACATTTTTCCATCTGGTTTGTTTGGGGTTTGCCGTGGAGATGTCTGCATTTTCTTCAATATAACGGGACTATTGTTTTGTCACTTTGAGCACCACGAGACGAGTGTCATATAGTCCCTTTATATTCGAGAGAAGGGAGACATCTCTACTCCCTTTGCTGTACGGTCAATACAGATTTTTGGGTGAACTGTTTTAGGCATTTGAGCTCATTCCTGTTGATCAGCGAGCATCAGCTAGTTCCAATGAAGCAACTTAACACTCACCTTGGTGTTTTGACTCTTTTGCATGTTAATCCCTTCGTGGCTTGTGTTTACATCAGTAAAAGAGCTAGGCAGCTTAGCTGGGCAGCAAGGAGACAAATGAATGTGCACATGTGGAGAGTGAGGGCTACTGAGTTTTGGATTCGAAACGTGACATGAAATTCCAGTGTTAGCGTAGGGCACCTCCAGGGAAAAGCTCCTTTGTATGGCTCGATGACAATGGTTTTCCTCAGGCCTTTCCTGTCCTTTTCCCGACGAACAGACCTTTTTCTCTGTTGGTTTAGTTGAGGAGAACAAACAAGCAGAAGTACTACGGTACAGTTTTGTGCGAGGGTTGTGTTGACCATCGGGGTGTGTTGCTGGGTTAGGAGCCTCAGGATTTTCCACATTGACTGTAGCCGTGGTTGTAGCTCCCTTGCCCGACATTATTGGTCTCTGGTGGGCAAAGTGCAGCAGCACGCTGCTGGAGTGACGATTCGATCTGTCTAAAGTTGACGACAGTTCCCTTATTTTACCCCTGTCCTCCATTTTGCCTTTAGGTTCTTCCTGTAAAGGAATATTAAATTGCACCATGTGCTTGGTGTCCCTTAACTCGGCAGAACAGCTTCCTTTAGGGAGGCGATGGCCACTTACTGCTGTGGTAATGGACTCTTTGCAATTCACTTCCTCATCATCTTGGGAGAATTCACTGGCAGATGACTGATGACACCCCCTTGCTGGCGGGAGAGCAGATAGAGCCATTGGACTGACAGGGGAAGCAGGTGGTGTGCTGCAGGGGCTCTTTGGAAATATAACCAAGGAGGAGCACCGTCTCAAAGGGACCTTTGACTTGCAGCGGAGTAGACTCCTCTCCTGGGTGGTCCTGTGCTTTTCTGAAGCCTCTAGCTCAAAGATGCTGCTGCTGCTACAGTACCCGGCATCGCTGGCCATGCTGCTGCTGCTGCACGAGCCTCCGTCAGAGCCACTGCCTGCTCCGCCTTCACTGGCCCCTGGGTCTCCATCCTCTATACTGCCATCTAGCTCTCCGCCGAGCTTTCCACAGGGCTGCAGCGAGATCTGCAGAATGCTCTTCTTATTAAATCCTCCAGTGTTGACCCTGGGTATGAATACTGAAGAGTACCGCTGTAAATTAGCGTTGTCTGGTGACAGCGGAGTCACCTTCAAGTGGACGGAGCTGTGCGCCAGACTCTCTGTGGGGCTACGAGCTGACACGCCGACTCCACTCTCCTCACCATGGCTGCTGAGGCTCTCTGACAGAGGGTCTGTGTTGCTTCTCCTTGACGCAAATTGTAAGCGCAGACGACGTGCCATTCGTTTAACTCTCTAATCCCTGCAGCGCTGGTGAGAGCTGCATGATCAAACTTGCTGGAAGGAAAAAAAGGAAAGCAAAGCAACTGCTCCGAGCTCTGCTCTGCGATCACAATCATTAGCGGCTGTACATTGCCAAAATAGCTCTGGTGACAACCTGCATTCCTCTCCAGGCTGATCTCAGCTTTTAGTCAGAGGGGGTGAGTGGTTCCGTTTGGAGACATGACCCAAACATACGACCTTTGAAACAAGAGCAATCACAGACATTAGCCCCCTTAAGGAGCTTAAACCTTTTTACGGAAAACTAAATTACAATAAAACTAAAAAGACAAGAGCTTCCAATGCTGACCTGCTTTATAACCTTAGCTTAGCTGCTAGATCACGGCACCTCCCGAGTTCCAGCCAGATTAATATCGTACACCTCGTGTCTGTTCCAGCCGCCTCACTCCTGTTCCCTCCTTTGGAGAAAACAACAACATGGTAGCCCTCTACGTTGCATCTTAGACTGAAGCTTTGGTAAACTGTTACATCTGCCTCAGGCCGCTCACTCAAGTCTCTACTTCCTGCTGTGGGAATGCTTCTAATGTTTCTACTGCTCTGTGGCCCCAAACATATTTTTACCCGCTGCTATTGAATTACAGGAAATCAAAAGGAAATGGCTTCCAATATAATTCTATAACAAACTGGGGACCGGGTTGCACAAAATAAAACCACCATAGCTTTGTATTTCATGCAAAAGTACAACTAAAGCAAAGAAATATTTGCAAAGAAACAGAATGTGTTAAACAGCCATAAAGTAAGCTGTGACATATTATCTGCCCGCCTACGAAAAAACACAAGAAGATGAGAACGAGCTTTGACGGCGACGCGACACCTGTTATACGACACCTCGTGTCACAGGCAGTGCTGGTCTGATTTCCTCTCCGTGGCTGTTGACAGTCCGATTTATTAATGGCAGCCTATTGTGCGTCAGACTGGCCTATTTCAGGGCATTAGTGTGCATCCAAATCAGTTTTAGTAAAAGGTGTAATAGTAAGAGACAGCCAGGATAAAGACATGATTCATCAGAGGACACTTCACTGATGCAGCTGCCTATTTTTTGAAACCGACATGACAAACTACCAGGAAACCTTGTGATTGGCTATCAATCACTCATCTGGCCGTAAGATTGGCGACTCACACGACACCATTTATATTTAAGCCGTACAGTATGGTGTGTAATAGGCCAATAATAAAGCAACGCCGCGTGTAATACACAGATTGAATCCGGCACCATAAAAATATTGCGCCCCAAAAGAAAGATTGAAAAGATAAGCCATATTATGTCATTGCGGTGTGGTTAGAGTGGAGGCTGGACACAGGAGACAGAGGATGGCTCTGTCAGTCAGCAGCTGTAATGAGTTAACGGCTAACGAGTTGCTCACATTGTACAGCCCCCTCACCACCACTGAGTGGCAAAACAAACATGCTACGTCTGTTGTGAGCGGAAAGGCTTGAGATATCTGGAGGAAAACAAAACACCATCTTGAAAAAGTTGATAATGAAGTGTACTGAATTACTGCTGTTGTGTATTTTAGTCTTTACTTTCACTCTTTAACTACTGTGCTGTACTTCCTGTGGGGACTGACGATCATATATTTCTTCCTTACATGAAGGTCAACATAACTAATTTGACAAATCGTCTGTACTTTGGTGACTCCAGTTTTATTGTTTCTGTACCAATTCATTTTTACAATACCTTTAGCTTTTTGTCTTATCATTTGTATTCACTATCACTGTTTTTACAGTTTTATTCCAGTAACACTTGCAATGCATTATGTATTCAACCCTAATTAGAAGTGTGTTTAGCGTGCTGAGCTACACATAGTGAGGGCAGAATAATACATGCAAGTATCGTTACTCTGAACAAAGCCTGCAGACACGTCGATAACTTAAAGCAGGACTTGTCAGCCTGAACAAAATCACACTTCAGTGGATATTTTGGTCGTCTGTCGACAAATCTCACTATCAGGGCAGGTTGGGAGGATTTTGTATTTTTCTTTCAGATGACAGTCTGTGCTTCTATTCTCTTTAGCCTTCAGTAAAAACTTCTTCCTGAATCAGTCTGTGCAGTTGGTTGCACAACAGCTCCGTACCATTTTATAGTGTTTTCAATGTGAATTCATGATGGCCATTCAAAAAAAAAAAAAAAAAAGGGGGGGGGGGG